GTTCTAAATATAGCTTCAAAAGGAACACCTTTTTCATCTGCAGAAGTTTCAGATAAAGTTTGTTCCAGGAATAAAACTGAACGGGAATCAATTTAGCTAAAATTATCATGTATTAAATTATTTCTACAGACTGAGGAAAATTATTATTATCTCGAGAAATTCAGCTATATTAGCGTTCAACAGATAAAAATCTTTGAAACAGCGATAAATAAGAAGAACTGCACCGACTGATTGGAATAATGCACGACAGGGTTTTCGAAAATGCGGTCACTGAAATAACGATATTTAAATATTCTTGATTTCATTCTCTTTAATATTCCATTAGGTCCGATATCCTTCTCAAAAAAACCTCTCAACGACTTAATTTTACCCAATTTTGTCGTAATTTCACCTTTTTCTGTCGGGACCGAAAGTTCCCAGCGAAATTTACTAAAACTGTTTACATAAAAATAAAGAATCCGGCCGGGCTTTTAAGATAAAAATCCGCCATTCCGTCGAAAACCATCCCTTAACGGTGATTTTTCACTAGATTATATGATTACCGCTCGTAAATCAATTGTAAAATAAAACCGCGTTCGTTTAATAATCGAGTAAAAAGCAATTTGCAAGTAAAATTCTAATCCCATTTGAATAACAGAATATCGCTTCATCTTATGAAATTCAAATCGCCCCCTTAATCTTACCACTGGATCTTTGTCTACCAAATGACACGACACCACATAAATCTTGATTGGCTGTCTTGCGGTATCATAAAATATACAGGGCCACCAAAATCAAGTAATAATTTATTGATGAGTTTTAATGATTAATTTGTTTTAATATTTTGTGTGTAACTAATATTTTTGAATAAATTTCAAATAACTAACAATTTTGCAGATGACAGGAATTAATTTACTGAGGTATGAATCAACAAAATAGGATTGTTAGGTCCAAATTGCGAGGCAAATTCGCTGACAAACGTCTCCGTTAAATTAAGTTTTGAATTCAAATAGAGCTCGATCCGAAATGAAATGCGAAAAGTTATATTCAGCAAAGGCAAATCTTACCTTAGTATCTTTGGCATAGTATAATTTGCGTCCCTTTAGTTTGAAATAGCGCCGCCTCCATCTTTGGAACGACCACGTCTGTTTGAGTAAATAACCCTCCTTGATGGAAGCCTGGAAATAGAATAAGTCAATTTAGTCGATGTTCATGTGTTTTCGCGATATTCCAGATTCCCGCGGAATGGAGATATCGTTCCGAAAAGGAACAAAACCGGAGCTAAAGGGAAGAAATGCCGCCATTACGGTCCTCACTATGGCAGAAAAAAGTAGGTAATTGGGAATACACAGGAAACACGAAATACGATTACGACCGTTAAAAGTTCCGGATTCCGGATGCTTCGGAAACAATATGATTTTCCCCACTCGTTATACTCATCGGATAAAAAAGTTTCGAGGATTTCGCTTCAAATTTCTGCGTCCGTAATTAAATCGAAGAATTCTTTCAGACAAATACATATCCCCGAGTTGATGTTATTAATATTAATAAGTCAAAGTGAAATGCGCCTGATACAACCTCGATGACCCATTGGAAACTTTGCAGCGAATTTACCTGAAATTTAATCCGATAAATTTTTACTGAAATTCCGCGCCAAAAATTTTACCTGCATGCAGCACTAATTCCAAGCAGATGAATTCCCCATACTACTCTACTTTTTACACTCTATACTCTACAATCTACTCTCTACTCTAGTCTCTATACTCTCTACTGTCTATTCTATACTCTCTACACGCTAAGAATTTTCGCTTGTACTCAACACTCTTTCCTTGCAAAATGTAAAGTGTATTATACCTAAAATGTAAAGTAGAAGGTGATTGTTGTGTCACCCGAACCAGCCGTTTGCGAATCACCTGGTGAATCCCCCGCAAAAGTGCTGCTTCAGCGGTGTTCAAACGGATTTATTGTCATTCGTTCAGCGGCAGCAAAAGGTTTTGTGGCCCTTTAATGTGGCCGATTGTTTGCGGCCGTAACGGGGGCAAATAAACAAATTGCAGGCGAATTCGCACGCGAAATCGTCGGGCTGTATGCGGTGTTCGTCGAATTAATTTCTTCCCCCCGTTCGTCGAGCGATTCGGGCTTTTCATCGGCGTTTCCGCGTGATTAATGAGGGTTCGTGTTTGCGAAAAAAGCCCGTTAATTAGGCCGTTCTAATTACGGCTAGTCAACGGAACAATCAAACGGCTGACGAATTCGCGCCGGCGACCCGTAAACAAATAGAACGAGGAAGGTAAGTGAAATTAAGACTGAAATATTGCGAGGGGTCCGCTTGCTCGGCGGAAATTTATTGGGCTGCGTAAGTTGAACGGGAAAATTATGCGAAATATAAGCACGCGTAACGCGTAATTAGGTGCTAAGGAAGGTATTTTGAAGTCAAACGAAGTTGTTTGTTTGTATTAGAGCGACTGTAAATGATCAAGGGTTTCTTTGAAATTGATCACGGCATTATCTTGTAATTTATTGCAGAATATTTTTATGATTTTAGAACCCACTCGCAATTTTTCACAAAGAATTAAATGGAAAATGTATGTATGTTAATAACATTTATTTTTATCAATGTAACAAAGCGAAATGGAAATGAAGGCAATACAATTTTCATCTATTTTCTTTGCAAATAGATAAATCAAATTAGAAAGCAACATTATTACTATTATTAGGAATAATTTAGTTAAATTGCATTTATAAATAAAACACTGACCTATATCTATTAATTAAATTACTGTTATTTTACTGCAATTATTAGTATCCACTGTTAATTAACTTACTGTTTTAAAATGTCCATTATTCGTTCGACTAATCATATCAATCGATTATTAATATTATTATTGTAAATTATTATTAGGAATTCTGGTTGAATGGCTTTTATGCAAGCACAATTTGAATTAACAATAAATACTCATTCCGCTTGGATTGTGCAGAAACTTTTTTAGGTACTTCACTTTAAAACTCACAAAATAACAAGCCAATAAGCGATAGCGTTATCGTTTGCTTTACAATTCCAAAAGCAACATACTTCATACTTAAAAAGTGTACATTCGCTCTTATCTATAATAGACTTGATCGTTTTATTCGCATTGTTATGCAGAAAATTTTATATGGGTAGGTACATAAAAAATTCAAGATGAATTCAAATAAAGGAGCAGCATACACCATTATCTTTCATGAATGTTCATAAAATGCAAACTTTAACATTTAAAGACATTAATTAGTTGAGATATTTCGGTGTTTCAGATCATATAGAAAGTAATCAAAAAACCCATAAATTCTCCTAAACTGAGTTAAGAAGTTAAGTTTCCTGACTGCAACTTCCAAACTAACCAATATCGTTCGATATCCATCTATTTCTGGAGAAAAACTAGGTCGACTTTTGTTTCCTTTGAAACGGGACACTCGACTGTCAGTGACCTAAAATCAAAGCCAGCCAGCCTGCCTGCCTTCCTGCGACTAGCCCTTTTTTGCGGGAGAGAATTGATTTCGTTTTCTCGACTTTCGCCCCGAAATATTTTACACAAACGCGCCGCCCGGCGCTCTCTTATTAAATACGGCCGAACAGAAGAGCCCGTTCGGGCGCAAACCGATTTTTTCTTCTCTCGATTTAATTCGAAGGACTTTCGACGTTAACGAGCCGGGCGGATTCGACGCTGAATTATAAAAGGGCGCTGTCTAATGAACGTTATTGTGTTGGGTAGACAATAGGAATTATTTTTTTTCTCTAGACAAACGTGCGGGAAATTGCTAATTTCGACGATCGTTTACACGGTGGATCTCCTGGAAATGGGAAATTATTAGATGGGAGCTTAGATATACCTACAAGTAAAAGGCTAATTAGTAATAATAATAGGAATAAGGGATGTTTTCTAATGAAAATTGATTGATTTAATGTAGAAAAGGGTGAAAAAGAAAGTAGTTTTTAAAAAGCGACTAATTTATTTATAGTAAAGCGTTGTAAAATTGAGATAAAACTAAGATAATCTGGTAACTCAAGGATTTGTATTAATAGTTAAAATTGAGTACAAAATGGAGATAAAAAGTTCATGTTTTCTTGAAAATTACCCAATGAAATCTAGTTGAATAAAGTGATCAATTGCTAATAATAAATTTCCTCTTTCAACAGAAGTTATATGTAAAATTGATAAAAAGTAGAGCGGTCAATTATCTAAAATATTATTCATTTTCAGGGTTTATGCGACGGGTCACCCTATAGACACGAGCGGAAAGTTGCATGCAAATTAATGCAAAAAAATGGTCTTCCACAGCTTTTATTTCCTCTCGACGGGCATTTTATTCAAGCTATAAAAATCACTTTTCTCGTCCGAGCAGACGCGAGGTTCATTTGCGCTAAATTAAAATGAACCGCCGACATTTCGCGGATATTAATAAAAATTTTTTGTAACGACGAGCAGCAAGCGAAGCGACAGGATCGCCCCGGATGGGGAAAAATCCGTTTAAATTTTCGCTGTATCAGGCGGAATGTTCTCCGCCGAAATTTCGATCTGCGCTAATTCTGTACCTTAATAAAGGCCGATATTTCACCGAGTCGGTATCTCCAAGTGCGCCCCCGCTATCCCCCTCGGTTTTTTCAAGTCGCAAATCGCGGATTATTGTCTGCCGAAAAATCCCCGGGAATTTTATTTAACGTTTTCGCCCTCTTTACCTATTGCGCCCTTTATTGAATTACCGTTTTCGTAAGCTTGCAGGAATATTAAAAACGTTATTTTTATGACAAAATCGATCTAAAACGGTGGATTTTTTCTACAAAATTTACTCCAATTTATTCTTCATTTCATGATGTTTATACAAGATTTTTTTGGTCTTTTTTAGACACGCACACTTGAAACAATATAAAAAACTCAATTTTTAAAAGTTCTTAAATAAACTACCCTGAAACTACTCCCCAAAAACCATTAATAACAATTAGAAACTTAATTAAACTTGCGAATAACGCGATTCCAGCGCAAGTTTCAACCGAAACCAGGACCTCTTCCCGGAGAACAAACGCCCACGAGGCTCTTGAACTGGAACTTGCCAGACGGTTCCACGTGCATCGGGAGATGCGCCTCCGAATTGCATACGCCAACGAAATTTCGGTCGTTAATTAAAACTTCCTCCTGGGCGAAAGTACGAACGTTACGGTTCTGCAACAATCGTCGATCAAAAAAGCCCAGAACAACAGCCCGTTTAATTGGAAATTGCTTTATTCGGCGCGGGTAGCGCGTCAGAGTGGCTTCCATAAAGTTTCCAGAAAACGCGGAGGATGTTGAATGCATTGCACATTGATTTCGGTACTTGTAATGATAATGAAGTTGCTCCTGTAAAATATATTTAAAATGCAAACTGATGAGCTTCATTAAAAACTAGATTTTAATTTGATTTCGTATGTTATACATAAAGGGCCGTATTCAGCGCTCATTTGAGGTCATTGCTTCATTAAAAACTAGATTTTAATTTGATTTCGTATATGTTATACATAATGGGCCGTATTCAGCGCTCATTTGAGGTCAACAAAATACAGAATCTCCTTATTTTACAAGCATGAATTTTATAATTATGGCATAATTAATCTGTATGCTCTTTGAATCGGTTGAAATATAGCACAAAAAATGGCGGCCGATTTATTAACCGGCATGCGTTATTCTTCCTTTTATGCGCCCTTTTAAGCCGATTAATTATTCTTTCAAAGAGTTGGTTGCACGGCTTCAGTTTTGAATGCAAAACATGCTGAATGGGGATTTTGCGTCAAATAAAGTAACTGAAGGAGCCGCTTAATAAGCCCGTCCGGAAAGTTCGAAGAATTATGATGGGCTTAGCATAAAAATGCTCGCATGTGTTCGGCAATTTCGAGCGAATGAAAGGTAGGTATGACTTTTTCCTGGTGCTGGTGGCTCTTCGGAGAACGCGCTTAATTATATGGGTTTTGGGTTAGTAAATTCAAACAATAACCACCGGAGTGTGTATGTTTTAGGTACTTAGAGTTTCACCTAAAATTTCAAACGTAAGCCGTTCGAGCCCATTTATATGCAAATTCCGTAACGTGTTAGTGGGGTGAATAATGGATGTGCTCCGGATTTCGAAATTCGTCTACGTGATTTAATTAAAAAAAGGCGCGGAATGCGGCGTTTCCGACTGTTTTATTTTATCCAATAAATCGAACTCCCAACAAATATTTCAAGATTTTTATTTCATTTAATTCGAAGAGTTTAATGCGGCGTGGTATTAGCAAGCAAAACGATCCTGCCATTTTCATCATTAAATTGAAATGTGGTCGTTTTGATTGTTATACTATAGTTTTAATGATATACCTACTCATATTATACACTATAACTATAAAGGTTTAAATTTCGCTATACTCAATATTATATAATACTCTATATTGTTGCCATTTACGTACCTACTATTCTTTGTATAATTAATTCATTTCAAAGCTTCATATACAATTTTGTTTCATAACCAACATTGATTAATCAAATGCAGCAGTATTATCCATTAAATTTGCAGTAACACACATGTTACCTGCGAATCTCTTTTGCGTCAAATTTCGGGGAAAACGTAGGTAAGCAAAATTCGTCCTGGATATCCTGACGTAACATAATAGTATTAATATGAAATCGCATCTGATGAAGGAGTATCGTTATAACTATGCGGTAAGTTATACGATGCCTCGTATTTATTTTGGGAATTCGGGAAGGAACAATCCACTTCACGGGTTTCGTTTCCACGGTAGATCAAATGGAATTTATATTAAGCGAAAGTTCGCGAGGAGAATGTGCCGTTTTTCGCAAATATCGTAAGAACAATACGGGGATTAATACGGCGAAAACATTCGAGTTCAAAGGGAAATTACACACCTACGCATGTATGTTTTGATGAATATTTATAATTAAATCTTCGAGTAGTAGGTAGGTCCTATTTACGTTTAAAATGCGTTTACCTTATGGAGTGGGAAAATATAGAAGTATGTAGGTCTAAAGCTTTGACCTGACCGAAATGACTAAAATTTCAACATATTCAAGCAATATATGGAATAATGCTGTAATTTTTATTAAAAAGTTATATTTGTGATTTATATACAACTCGTCGTGCTCATCAAATGTTTCTATGTTCTAAATTTCTCTTTGCGGTGAAAATTAAATACCAGGATAAAGTCAAAGTTCAATTTTTAGTGGGGCCGATCCAAAAATACCTATCGATTTTATCTAAATAATGTATTTTTCCATCTGCTCGAACGTCATCGTTGGAGCACCTCTGTTGAGGTTGAAATAAAAGATTGGAAATTGTATTGTCAACATAACCGAAGATAAAACTACCATTTTCCATTCAATTGAAGGACGCAATTTTAATTAAATTTCATGAATGATATTGTCACGGAATCGCCTGTCCGTTGAATTACTGGACATGACGCTAACCTTCCAATGAATTTGTTACATTTTACCTTTTGTAAAGGCCAGATAACATAAAAATGTATTCGTTTCGAGGGTACTTATACGTAAATAAACATATAGGTACGTGTACTCTTAGTTTATCATGTTTATAATTGAGCCTTTGGGGGTTCATAAATAGAAACTACAGCGTAAATGTAATTCTATATTAAATTGCTATTTCTATTTTGAATTCCTGGTACATCCAGTTAGGTAACGTAACGTGGTATAATACAATATAATGAGTATATAACACTAATGAGTTTGCATCTACTCTGAATACATGTACAATCCGAATGCAAAATCTGCACTCAGATGGCTATGAAAATTTACAAGTCAAAAGCCTGTTTATATTCGTCTCTTATTCTGATTTTATGTTTCCATAAGTGGCCTTATTTCTTGGAGATTTCATTGTCAATGTAAATTGTATTTTATATAGACAAGTTCATATCCCAGTGAATAACAGATTTTTAATTTCTTTAAGAGACTTTCATATGAAAATTCCTTCAAGTCACAAAATATTCCAGACCAGGTTTGTTGAAAAAATTCGTCTTTAACATTGGGTTCCTTAAATAGGTATTTGTTCCTTTTCTGTTTCATCAGTGCCTAGTTCTTTTATAAAATCCTGAAATACATATTGACATGCACTTTGAGTTTCTTGTGAATCTTGGCTCTGCATAGGATATTATTGCAGCAAACTCTATCACTTATTGGTATAATATACATCCAATTATTAATCTTAAGATATTACTCTGGGTCCATACTTATGAAATGTATCTTTTAATATCCTTAAACCCTCCCTATTCGATATTAATAAGTCGATTAATCAAGCGAAAAAATTTCATTTCGCCCACTTTTATTTCTTCGTCTTTGATTATTTTTTACAGCTTTATTTACTGTTATTAAGGTCAACTCCAATAAAGTTTATTCTTCTATATTGCGTTATTTCGGAGAACCAAGCCGTTATTTGCTCAGTTTATTTGCTTTGCCTTCTCTTCAATCGGTTACATTGTGGCCCATAATCATGTTTCCTTTAAGCTCACTTAATTAAATTTCCCATTAACTCAACACATGGCGATGGAGTTGACCCCTCGAGCAATGGCAGTATAAAATCCAATAGTGCCCGGTAATGATAATCAAAACCGTAGTAGAGCGTATAGTAATAGCGAGTATAAGTGTAAGTGGCCGAAAACGATCCGAAAACCCGTCATGAACACGATTATCGATCGACGTCGCGGCGTCGGCCGAACTAAACAGCGTCCCCGGCCGTCTGATTGCCCGTCTGTTTACGCTACACGCTCAGCACATGTTTCTAGGCACACCTGTTACTCCACTACGATGCGCTTACGAGATTAAAAACGTGCAATCGAACAAGGGAGACGCTCGGAAGTTAGGTTAGGTGTTAGGTACAAGGCGTGTAGGTATTCCACCTACAATAAAACAAAGCGAACGCTCGAATGAAACAAGACCATTTATTCAAAAGGAATAACGTTGTATATGTTACAAAACTAGGCGTAAAAATAAACCACAATGCAGCAATTAGGTCAAAAAGAGCAAGCGAGCGGGATGCGTGCCAAAATAAGAAGCGATTGATTTATGAAATAAAACGTGCTCGTTTCTCCGATAGCTGATTAAAAATGCACCACGCCTACCATCCCCGGGGACAACAGCAAACAATACACGCATGCCATCGGGTTGCTTTGCTTTTGTAAGTACATATACATAGGGGGTTATGCGTATCGGTTGGATCGACAGGGAAAAACAATCAGGCACACCACATACCGAGCTGTTAATATCGCGGTTCGTCGACAATCGCCTGTGAAACGACTTGGCCGGTTCCGTTTCCCCATCACTTTCCGACGATTCCTCCCCGGCGGGCGACGGACCGCCCGGATTTTTGGCACTCTCGCTACCCGACGCCATACTACCATACCGACATGTTTGTTTTTTCTGGGCTTTTATAGCGCTACCGCACGTAAACAGGACGGTCGCGAGTCGCGCTTCCGTGCGTCGCCTACGCGAGGCAGCACCTGCCGGTCGCCGAACCCGATACCGACAACCCCATTGTGAACCCCACAAATCTTTCGCCTGCCATGTTTTGTCCACATTGCGCTAATTTAATTTACAGTGATGCCGGTTACACGGGAATCGTTATTGACTACATAACGCCAGCAACTTAGGCCAGAAAATTGAATAATTGGACTTGAAATTTTTTGTGGAAATCCAGTGGAATTACGCGCTCGCAGCTTCTACAACTCAAATAAGGCTTTATATGAAGTTTTTTAGTAAAATTCATAATCTATATCAAAAAATAAAAACAGTAGAAGAAAAATGTCAAAATTTCAAAATTTTAAAAATGTCAAATGTCAGTAATACAGACAATCATTTTTGGTACTGAGCGACATATTTAAATTTTATTGAAGTTATAGAAAATATACCTTATACTCTCAATTTAGTGATAAATTTAGAATTTACATTTGTCTCAATATTATCTAATAACCAAATACCAGCAACAACATAGGCACCTAATTCACCAAACAGAAGACTTTGAGTTAATTTTGACATTGACAGTGACAATGCCAAAAAAATTCTAAATACAAATACAAACAAACACAAATTTCAATAAAACAAAACAGGCCGATTTCCCCGATAAATTGCACATTTCATGCGGGTTGTCGATTAGAAATAATCGAGCGCACCACCCGAGACAGACGTTCTATCATGTTCGCACGATAGTACGGCGCTGAACAGTTGGAGCTAAAATTAGAAAATCGATAGGAAGGAAACATCAGTCATGAATTCGAAATCGAAATTAACAAAAAAATCCGGCCTTAGTAGTTTCGTTCTTCCACGCAAGCCCCCGAATAAGGTAGGAATATCTGTTACGAGAAGTCAAAGTGCAAAAGAACCGCATATGGGTCACATTATTATTTCAGAAGTCACAAATGATCTAGCTGTTTCGCGGAGACCGCTGAGATTTGATAAAAATAAAATGCAAGGCAGGAATAATACTTTGAATATTACTGTAAGTACCTCCGTGAGTTTCTCTATAAATTTTTAATTTGATTTCACATTTTCTCGTAGAATTTAGATAGACACAACAGCTTGTCCGATAGTAATGTGTGTTCTTCTGATTATTCAGACAATCCTCAAGACGATCAAGTTAAAGACAAATCTGTATCACATGAAAATATATCGGATTCCAAAGGTGAGATTTTAAAAATATTTCACCATAAAACGAACCATTCCGTTTGATTTTATTTACAGGACTGAACTCGCTTTATCTTATTCCTATAAGTAAAGCTCGACAAAGAAACTTTTTACAAGGTAGAATCGGTGCTAACTCCTTATTAGGCCCCAATGAGCTTGACAGAATCTGTCCAAATAGAGAAATCACTATTTTTGTAGGTACTTGGAATATGAACGGACATTCTCCTCCTAAGTAAGTCCCCTCGATAGTTACCCAGCGCATATGTTAATATTTCCTTTCTTTTGTAGCGAATTAAACGATTTCGTTCTTCCTGTTAGCATGGAACACGTTCCCGATATCCTATCGTTCGGGACCCAAGAATCCACTTCGGAAAGATTCGAGTGGGAAGTTAGTTTACAAGAAACAATCGGACCATCACATCTACTACTTCATTCTGTATCATTAGGTAAACACTCGATATACATGAGTTTTAAGAAAGGAATTAGATGTATTGATTGCAGGTACCCTGCACCTGGCTACGTTTATAAGAAGAGACCTCATTTGGTACGTTTCGATTCCCGAGGAGTCCAGCTTATCAGTCCGGCCTGGCACGGCCTTTCGCACGAAAGGGGCCGTGGCTTCTTCCTTTATGATATTCGGCACTTCGTTTCTGTTTGTGACCGCGCACTTGACCGCTCACGAGGAGAAAGTCAAGGAGAGAGTGTCGGATGTGAAGAAAATCGTCCACTCCATGGATTTGCCGAAGATACTGCCTTGCAAGAACAAAAGCCAAGGTGAGTGGTGCCGTTTGAGAATCGATGTCGAAATTATATTGGAAAATTTGAAATTATGTTACAAATTTGTATATAAAAGATTTGCTTATAAAAGTGTACAGGATGTGTATGTGAATTGTTTATCTGTATTCATCCTGTACGCTTAATGATTGACTAAAAAGTGTGTTCACTGAAAATTTCTAAAAATACTTATACCATTTTTTATGGCACGTGTCCTAATTTGAATTGAGATATGTATTTTTGTATTCCACAACAACTGCGCTGTTTCTTGATAGTGGCTATATTTTTACTAGTGCAATTTAGTGTGATCAATGTAAATAATGTTCGTAAGTATCAGCAATAAGTTTGATCACTAAACCCGATTTTTGCACCTATTTTTTATCACTATTTTCCCTTCGAATTAACTGTCTTTACATCGTTGGTTTCCAATTTGTTTTGCTTAAAAAATATAAGAGTGTATTTTTTATTGTTATTATTAACACTCGAGATTTTTATCGATTACACTTTTTCTCCTTGCCTCATTTATTGCCCTTTTTAATTAACTCAATATAACGCCCTTTTTTTACCTATTTATATTAATTTACTACCCAAATTTTGTTTTTTATAATTTAAAATCACCTTGCAAATACACTGGGACACTGTCATCACCGCTTGTTTGTGTTTTCAATGCATTTTCCTTACCGTTTCCGCCGATTTATTGTATTAATTTACGCTTATATTTTATTTTCAGATACAGTTTCGGATATAAGACGTAATGGATAACAATAGGTAAAACCCCCAACTACAAACTCTACGGTTTACTTCATATGTAGGGAGACAAAAAAATAAAATCGTCGCCATAAACCGCATTCTAAACTTATTAACTGAATCGACGAAATTCTAATCCCGCTGAATGGAGGAGTAAAATGTATCGTTTTGTTGTTTCAGACGTCACCCAGAACTTCGATTACGTGTTTTGGTTCGGAGACTTGAATTTCAGGCTGTCGACGCCGAGAGCGAAGGTGCTGGAATGGCTCTCGAACACCAGCTTCCCGCTACCGCCCCACCTGCCCCACGGTTACATGCACCACGACCAGCTCTGCTCGGTGCTGGCCGACGGGGCCGCCTTCCGCGGCTTCAACGAGGCCAAAATCACCTTCCCTCCGACCTATAAAGTAAGCCCGGCGGATTCAAGATGCATCAAAATGCAGATATTTAAATTAGTGTATTTTTTAGTACGATCCAGGCACGCAAAATTTCGATTCGTCTTCGAAGAACCGAACGCCCGCGTACACCGATCGGATATTGTACAAGCAGAAGCAGAACCGGAGGTTTAGCGGCATTGCGGAAAATCCGCCGTTGCAATGTTTGATTTACGATTCCGTTCCGTCGATCACCACGTCGGATCACAAGCCCGTTTGGGGCGTTTTTAAGGCGCACTTGAGACCTGGATTAGACACGTAAGTTTACTTTTACAACCAGAGCCTTGAAAATATGTCCCCAAAAATTCAAAATGCATATACAAAATTAAACTTCGTATTTCTCGAGCGTTTTAAACGACTATGGAGCGTTCTAAATGGTTCTAGACAGTTCTATATGATTCTGGAGTGTTCTAAATCGTTTTAGACAGTTCTAAATAATTCTGGAGCGTTGTAAATAATTTTGGAACTTTCTAAATGGTTCTAATAAGTAATATAGTATAGTAGTCGGCAGTATTTGTAAAAAAAAATAATTGTTTCTGATTTTTCATCAAGCATAAACGCATATACACACACTCAAAAATGCCACTGGCCATTTATTATTTGAAATGTCTTTTGTTAAATTGTTTTTATCATATTATGATTGCTAATGCATTGAAACACCCGTCTTCAAATTTTCACTTCTGTACATCCAAAATCTTTCAAACTGCTGACAAAAAACCTTTTTTTTATTTCAACTTTGACACTCTGTATCTTTTTTATTTTCAATATTTTAGTAAAGCAAGTTGGGTCTGATGGTAATATTTTGAGGCCCAGAATCTTCCCCCTTCACTTTTGAACCATTACTTACTGACCACCCTGTATATAAACTCAAAAATGTTTTGCATAAAAGAATAAACATTCTTTACAACGAATTATTCGTAAAATTACTCATCAAAATTAGTTTCCAAAAGGCATAAACATCATTTAAAATTAACAATAAAAACAATTTACCAAAAGACATTTTAAATAATAAATGGCCAGTGGCATTTCAACTATATAATATGCAAAACATTTTTGAGTATGCATACATATTTTGAAGGTTTTTAGTGCATATTTTTCAAGCTCTACTCATAACTTATAGCACTTAGAATGTACCACATTTACTGTGTATTCTTCAGGATTCCCCTAGCGGCGGGTTTGTTCAACAGGGATGTCTATTTGGAGGGTTTGCGGAGACGAGCCACAGCTCTGGGTAGCATAAAGGATAACACCTCCGTTTGTTCGGTGCAGTGATTGAATTAGGTGACCTGGATCTGTCAAAATTCCATTTAAAGTAAATGTTATCTGTTAGAAAGGCTGTTTTTATTGTTTAAAAAACTTTCGAGATATTGAAAAAACTTTCGAGACGTTGAAAAAGCATTGGGACATCGAGACATCGAAGCATATGCAGAGCAAAGCGAATGCAGAGAAAGCGTATAAAGTGATAAGCACGAGGAGAAAGAGAAAAAGGTGTGCAAAGAAAAGCGTACGCTAAAAAATAATGCATCAATCAATCCGATTTGGTTCGCAACGGATTATCGTAATGAGTAACCGGACTTTTGTAAATGGGGTTCATCTCGACGGCGTTCTTATTTTGCGCAATGAAACGCTCGTATTCCAGTTTATCATCTCTGTAAATTTTGAATTTGTAATACGCTATCGCCATTAGACCCAGGAAAATGACAGCGCACAACACGGACAGCCCGGACACTACGGTTTTGAACCCGGCGGTCATCATGCAAATTTTTCGAGCGGCTATCGTGTAGTTTTGGTCGCCGTAATAGCAATATTCGAAAATACAGCGAATTCTCCCTTGGTATTCCATTGTCGTGCACGGTATGTCATCACCTACAAGAAATGCCTATATAATACAGGGTGTTTCACATAAGACCCGTCACAGGGGCGTGTAGATGAGCCGAAACATGTTGTTTAACCCTAAGTTAAAAGGGCCGTAGGGATGACCATTGGTTTTATCTTCAAGTTTTTCCATATAAAGGGTGTTTCAATAAGAGCGCAAGATTTTAAGGTTCAATAAAACAATGTTATCTGTAGCAAAATATGGAAATATTTATTAATTTATCATGTGTACATTTGGGAATTATATATGCAACAAAATATCTTGTAAATGGCCCACGGCTTTGCTGGCACGAGCGCACTCTTTTGATAACATTTTCAATAGCATTATTGTATATATGTGGCGGTATTTTATTGATACAGCGTCTAATTTCGGCTTTTAACGCTTCGATGGTCGCGGACATGTTGGCATAAACCTGTGACTACAAGTAACCCCACAGCCAGAAGTCCAAAGGTGCTAAATCACAAAAACGTGGCGGCCAATTCTGGTCACTAAACCGAGAAATGACCCGACCGGGAGTAATATTTAACAATTACGACGCGATTATGATCCAGATCTATATCCATATCCAGATCCAATGCTCCATATTTACTAACTCCCAACTGTTAACTTTCGATCTGTCATGTTATAATCACGTGTTATTATGACTGTCGCACGTGACGGGCAGTTCAAATCTTGCGGTCTTATTGAAACACCCTTTATATCGACCATATAGAATACCCATAATAACCAAATCATCTGCATAAATAAAACCTGGACAATACTTCCCGATGCTGGAAGATATACTTACTGCATGATAATTCAAATATTGCGGTCTTATTGAAACACCCTTTATATCAACCATATAGAATACCCATAATAACCAAATCATCTGCATAAATAAAACCTGGACAATACTTCCCGATGCTGGAAGATATACTTACTGCAGGATAATTCATTTGCAGCGGATTCGTCGATTATCTCCACCGTTTGCCCGTTTTTCTCTATGATTTTCGAGCCGTTGTTGCCCAAGGCGTCTCGCACAGCGGATTCGTACGCATCGCAAATCGTGTTGTTCCCTCCGTATTTGCTTTTTTCGCAATATTGGCCAGTATAATCGTCCCTGCAGGTGCACTTGTTGCAAACGCAATCGCCTTTACCGCTGGAAAATACGGCATGTATAATAAGTTGGGAAAGCTGTGGGACAATAACTATGTACCTACAAGGCTTATCCATTGTGCTGAATAAGCATTCCTGCTGCGAGGTGGAGCAGGAGCAATCTTCTCCCGTGTATCCAGTCATACAGTGGCACTTTCCTTCGAAGCATGTACCTTTCTCGGGTCCGCCGCATATCTGGAAGGTGTCGCCCACTCTTTTGCCGTTGCATTTGTATTGGCAGTATTCGCCAATGAAAGCCTCGTCGCACTTGCATTTTCCACATACACAATCACCGCTGAGGAACAAATTATCAAATGTAAATGATAAGGTCTAAGAGGGACAGGAAAATGACTCAATTTTCTTTAATTTTTCTTGAATCTCCTTCAAAATATGCTTCTTTTTGAAGCGATACACACAGTCAGACACCTTTTTCATTCATCGAAGCATTTTTATAGGCCCTTTTTGGCATCAACATTTGCATCGATTCGGCTCCAGAAATTCCGTTCGAAACCCAAAATAGGAAACAAACTCTTTGTTCCAATCAGCGGCTACAACCAAACTGATTGAAAAATCTCTCTAATTTTTTTCATGCTAATTAGAAACAGTGTTACCTACATTCAGAAACTTGAAATAGTTAAAAATATTAAGTGCTGGTAATTTAAATCAGAATTTCCGGGTACTTTTTTGTCAGAGGGTACGATGAGTTTTAATAGACTACGAATTAGATGGTTAGTTCTATTGAAGATAACTTACTTATTACTGCAAATTCTCGAGTATGTATTTTCGTTTTCGTCGAAAATTCGACATGATGTTTCATCGTAGCTGCATTCTTCTGAACAATCTGTTCCACTCCTGAAAATATGAATAAGTGTATTTGAAGTGCACTCAATCAAAATGATAATTTTTATCAGTTGCAGTTATGTATAATACATGTACAGTACGTTCGTAGATCGACAGGAAAAATGGTCGAGTACTTAGAGTAAACTTAGAGTACTTAGAGTAAACAGTATTTAAATTTTCAGGCAAGGACTTACAAAATTTTAGGAAACATTATTTTTTGTAATTATACCAAAATGCAAAGGGATAAGTAATCGGGTTTTGATCGATTAATGTTTTTAAATGAAGACATATAAATAAAGTAATTACCTATTATTCATTCTATTAGTTATTGCTCTGCTTTAGCTTGATTTTCAAATAGTTACCTTCTACAGTCTAAATATTCTATTATCAAGTACGGTTCTACTATTTTCCTATTTATTTCGCACATTAAGAAGGGTCATTTTACAACAGCAGGTAGTAATAATAAATCGTTAAACCGATTTAAATTTTTCCTGTCGATCTACGAATGTATTGTACTATAAACATTAAAATTATGGCTGTTTGTCTACCATCCATTTTCGCAAGTGCATTTGTCACATTTGAGAAATCCATGCACACATTTGATTTTATCTTTGTACTCATAATTTTGGCATTTACAGGATTCCAAATAGTCGATGTTTAACTCTATTTTCTCGTTAATATTTTTTTCTTCTACATATAGCGTATCCTGAAAAGTTAAAGGAATTATTTGATTCACTCATGTTTCATTTACTTACATTGTATTTTCCCAACGGTATATCTTTTAGCGTGATTTGCACCTTGAATCTTACAGGTTTGTCTTTTACGTGGTAACAGGTAGAAGTTTGGTTGAATCTGTTAACGTTTTCGCAATCGGCGAAAAATTTTATATCTAAATTTTCGGCATACGTTTGATTTATGCTGAAAGTCACTTGTTCTACAAAACTGTAGAAACCTACAAAAATAACAATGCTGCATTAATAAAGATAATAAAAAAGGATCGGATTTAATCAAGCAAAAAAGAGACAAATTAATTACCGCTTTTAATTAAATCTAGAATATTTTTCGACTGTTCCTCCAACTCCGCCACATACACAAATCCTTTCAAAGAATCCTTCGTCATATTCATGTAATATTGTAATTTAGTTTCGGTCTTCACGGCAAAAATTATGTTCACCTATAAATACAAATAACCTAATTTACAAAACATTAATCCCTTTGCATTTTGGTATAATTACAAAAAAAAGTCCTGGCCTGGACATTTAAATACTGTTTACTCCCTGGCCCAACTAGGTGCTTAAAAGTTCCATTGTATTGGAATCTATTAAGTACTTAGTCAATTGCTATAATCTATAAGTACTCGACTATTTTTCCTGTCGATCTACGAACGTACTGTACCTATTAATATATCAAATATTACACATATTTTGCTAGTAATTTAATTAAGTAAGATAAAAGAAAAATATAAAAAATTGTAAAGGTATTATTATTAAGAGAAGACACTATTCTCTACATAATTGAATTGATTAGAATATGACTTCATTTCAACATAACAAAAATGGGCAACGAATAGAAAAAGGGGAACCTACCTTCTTTTGTCGAATTAATGCATCGATTTGCTCCAAAGACGGATAATCGTACTTCAAAGGCTCGGAATGTTCACCGTTTTGGTCCAGCATGCAATGCTCGGTGGTCTTTAAAGCCGCCCCTACCAAGACCCCATCGCCTGCAGAGTGCAACAAACTGTCCGTTGGCAGCAAAATAATTTTCCTGGAGTTCTTGGAGAAGCCGATGACGTCCTCGCAGTTGAGTATCTGCAATATAGCGTCCAAGGCGCCGTCCAAATCGTCCACGTTGGCGGTAAGGTTGCTGTTTTCAACCTTCAAAAGACGACCGAATAGACCAAATACTCCTCTTGTTGGTACTAACCTTCTCCAGGAATTTGGTGAAGTTGTTGGTGAAATCCAGCCGGTGCTTGAACAGGTAGCCCTTTTCGCAGTTGCCCAGCTCGATGCTGCAGGGGTTGTCGTAGAAGAAGGGAGCGGTGAGGTAGAACGGCATGCCGGGCTTGTCCACGAACGATCCGTACGCTAGTTTGTAGTTCTTCGTTAACTTCGTCAAGTGGTTGGGCAGGTCTTTGCCCAGCGATTTGAACACCTCGATGTTCTGGCTCATCGACTGGCTCAGATCGCCCAGGTAGTACAGGTCGAGCGGGTAGTTTTCCGCTGGCTTGTACGTGAAGGTGAAAGTCACGGGAACGCCTAAATTTTAACGGTTTTTAAAAGACGATTTTAAAGTAGTGTCCAAAACTTTACCTTTTCTTAGCTTCAGCTGAATCTTCTGCGGTCTTATTTGAACTATATCTTGAGAATCCAGGTTTACTTCTTCTTTAATAACAGTAAACGGGTGGTCCTTTAGAAAGGTTAGGCTTGATTTCGCACCTATTTCTATTTTCCTGGAATCGCATTCTTTTAAATTATTTTGAATATTGCATCTTCTTTCATTGTAGTTCTAAAATGGTAACCAAAAAAAATCACAATTAGCACTTTTGTTGCAACAGTATCGATATAGTAACGATATGCATTCCTGAATTTACTGAGACCATGCCGCACATATTTTAACCAGCATGTTTTCACACGGGCCCAAAATTATTCCATTTTGTCACCCACACCCATAATTAGCCAGACAAAATGTTCCTATAAACACACACTAACCTCATCGTAGCACCAGCTACAGCAAACATGAGCCTGCAAACATTCATCGCAGGATTCTTGGTCGATACAAATCTTTTGGATATCAAGACTGGTACATTCCGAGCTACTTTGACCATTAGCTAAATGAACTAGCAGACATTGTAGTAACAATGTCAACAGACACAAGTTCATTATTGTATGTAAATTTTATACGATCTTTTTTATATTGGATTTGTATTTTCCTAACACTATTAACAGTTTGTATCTTTATCTCAAAGATAAGATAAAATATTTTATCTTGGCGGGACATTTGAGTCTCAGTAAGTTTTGACTTAATACTTAGTAACACTAATAAGTAGTCTTGATTGAGTTATGATCCCTAAATTATTCAGTACTAGTTACTCAATAACCTCATCAGACATCAAAATATGCCAAAGGATTAGGATGGTAATTAATGGAAGAGCAGGTTCAAAAAAAATTAGGCTTAACCAACAGATGCTCAATTTACAAAAGGGAATTTCCTTTCCAGAAACCTCTTTAAACATTCCCCAGATTAGCAATATTCCTTTCAGCAACATCGGACGAGATCAGCACCATGTGTAAAGGTAGCGCGTGGAAGGGCGCCTGCGTGGGCGTCGCGGTTTCCACGGCGACGTCCGTCTGGCCGAACAAGCGGAGGCGGGGGCGTCGCGACGCCTTCAGCAGGTCGCGGAGAGATCGGCGAACCGGCGTTGGGGTTTTCAGCGTTTATTTGGTCGTAAATTCGCCATCAGTCGAACAAGTGCGGCGGACCGGCGATGACCGCTCGCCGTTTGTGATGACCGACATATTCGCCTTAATTTGAAACTCTCTACAGAAGTCGCTCGGCGTTTTCAAATGTCGGTTTCGTCGTGATTTCACTGGATTTTGCCATCGGAATTTCGTCGTAGCGGGAAATGAGGTTAGTTAGTCGACTCGAATGTTGTTTTTTTATATTATTTTTTTGGCTTAAGTGCATCGCCAGTGTTCTTTTTTTTTGTCAGCCTCATCAGCATTAATCTGAAGAGTTAACTCAAAAAAAACCGATTAGAAAATGAATAAAATAAAATTATTACAACTAATTTTTTAAGCAAACATTCTTGAAATTTTCTAATAAAATTTAATAATTCCATAATCAATTAAAAATAATTACAAAAAAAAAATAAATATTTTAACTATGTTTGCTTGGCTTGAGCTCGTCAATTAGCGGTATTGCAAGCCCGCTAATAATCGTTGCAATTAAGGAAACTTATTCACATACGTGCACTCGTAAAATTCCCACTAAATTCATCATACCAGGTGATCATCTTGTGTGAACAATCGATGAAATAAATAATGTAGAAATTTTATGCGCAATAATTTAATAAATTACCTTACCAGTAATGGACACTAAAACTCCAAGTTATGGGTATAAATTTAGGTAAACCAACGATTTATTACGCATTATGAATGATAATTAGTTTCGATATATACGACCATCTTCAGGTCTAAATATACTGCTCCACAAAAGTTAAGGAAGTTGACAAATATGGATATTAATTTAAAAGTTGCAGGTTTTTTGATGGCCAAATTTAGTATGAATTGTAGAGGTAGGGGCAAAAAATCCACTTAGATATGAGAGAAACATTTAATTTTGCATATTTGAAAATTTGGTGATCAAAAAGTCTGTAACTTTTAAAATAATCGCAAAATTTGGCAATTTCCTTAACTTTTGTGGAGCAGTTTATTTTACATACCCAATTCACTAATTTACTGGAATTAGAAGAACCGCTTCATTGAAAGATTCTGTATATTTTAACACTACCCTGTACATTATTAACCACGCAAACTTTTATGGTTATATGTTTTAATCAATTATCGGATTAATCTTCGTTTTGTTTTTTTTACTGTCGCCCTTAAAAGGAGCCTTTCTCTTCTTTTCCTGTTCGTAATTAACTCCAATCATGCAGTATTTTTTCGAATATTTGTATCGTTTTTTTTATATAATCAATTCACTCGGCGTTCTTGATTATAACAAGAACACGAAACAGGTTCCAACATTAATAATGGAGTGTTTATTACAATGAACCATCAAGTTCATCCAGTAACGATTTTGTAAGTGCATCGAATTATTCCATACCTATTGAAAAAAAAACAATAAAGATTATTTTAGTTTTTGAGTTCAAGTGGGTTGACATAGGCGATTTAAAAGTGGAAAAACAGTAATTAAATATTTATTTATTAGACCTAAAAATCGATAATCTAGTTGCATTCAATTAAATTGAAATTAGATATCTATATCTACAGTATAATAAATATGTACTATCAATCTGAATAAACTCAATTAAATTGAAGTGTGTGCATTTATCGAATTGATTATTGTAATTGAGACAATAATTGACTAATTGGTTTAAATACTATTGTTTTACACTGGTAAAATTGAAGCCACAAATTGGCTGAATATGTTAAAAATAAAACGAGTAGGTAGTAGAAACATTGACGAATCTCTAGTTATTTCACAAAGCACCGGTTCACTTTCATAATTATTAAAAGAAAGGTTCTTGCAAAATATCCCCGAAATCGTATCGTGCCGCAGAATCAACTTTCAACGACCAGAATTTAGTGGATAAAAAACGTTACGTAAATTTCACATATACAATCATCTAAAACACATCTAAGCATGTGTATAATTAAATAATAAAAAAAATGTTAAATTATTCACTGTTTAATTAGGGTAGGGCGGGGCTAGTTGAGCAACTTTTCACTTTAGCGGATATAGCTCATCAATGATATGTGTGAATGACTTGTTATGTGGCTTGATGGATTAGTAATTTATCCCTTAACAAAAGTGTCCATAGTAACTTTTTTGTAACTAGTTGAATTTAAGAGCTACAGCTGTTTAAATGCAGAAAGTCAAGTATGCTCAATGTACCCCATAGGTGAGGTAAGTTGAGCAACGGTATGTTTACATATAGGATATGTTTATTTTTATAATCATCTCTTTATTTATTGTGGTTTAGTGACAAAACAACAAAACTTAAAGTAATTTACGAGCTTTCTGTTTAAAATCAGAATTAAATAGCTTAAAAAAATATTAATAATATATTAGCAAGTTTTGGTCGTTGTTACTGTTGCAATTAATACAAATGAAAGTAAGACCATAGCACCTGGAAGACATTTTATTTGTGCCCATTCCCTGCAAGCTTGGCAGTGAATCCAACTTTCTCCTGGTAAATTTCGCAGTAGTTGCTCAACTAACCCCAACCCGCAATTTTAAAATAAAAGTGAGTTCATAAAGAAATCGTAAGAATTATAACCAGAACATCTCTACATATCAAAAGTACAATAATTTTCTGGAATATTAACCCTTACCCCATTGAAAACGGATAATATTTGACTTATACAGACGAAAACTTGCGATAGACGACGTTTTTACTTTTTGGTCACAAAAAAAACAAAACGCACGGGTGCTTTACTCGCTTGTCGAGGCGCCACTTGCAATAGCTCTGTGATTAGGTCTCCCCCGACCCCTTCTTTCCGCCATAAGATGTTTATGCGTACGGTGAATAGTTTGCGAGATATTTCGATTGCACAACTTACCCGTATGCTCAACTAGCCCCGCCCTACCCTACATTGAAGTTCACTTTTTAACGACGCTCCTTAATTTTGTGTATTTTTTATTAGTAATTACACTCTCATTAAAAAATTTTCGAAGTGCTTAATTTTTGTAAACATCCATTAAAATAAAAACAGCGCATTAAAGTTTGTTGCATTTTGCACGTATGCAACAAACGTATGCCGTTTGCACACAAAACGGCATGCCGTGATCCTATTCAAGCATATCAAAAGAACGTTATTTTTGCGTTAAGGTCTAGCTCACTTTATTACAAACGTAATTACGAGGATTTTGTATACGTTTTGGATCGTTTATGGCAATTACTTTCGATTTTGTACGTAAATTGCTATTATACTAATTCGTTTAAAGCCAACTGCTCGGAGATTTCATCAAATTATCGTCCACTTTTTAGCACTTGAAGTCTAGTTGCATTTTGTCTTAATACCAATTTAAAGTTAGCGATTTAATCTAATTGAATGCAACCTTACACTAATTTATTACGTATCTGCTCGCAGAGAGTGATGGGGATTTTGAATGAATTCGTGTGTGGTTATCTTTAGTTTTATTAAAAATTTGGAAATCAATTAATTGCACAATACATTTTGTTTTGTTTATATACTATAAAACAATCACTTGATTAATAAAAATTATTGTTATGATGAAATCGTTCGTCAAGTGGCATTTGATCTCGAACTAAAAGTGTAATTTTAGTGCAATATTGATTAGATATGTTTATTTTGGTAAGTTTTTAAATTTTGAATGATTGAGATTTAATTACCGGGGCATTTATAAATCTTGGGTAATAAAATTAGATCTAGTGCAAATAATGATTTCCCTATAGTTTTTTGTTTATTGCTGGGCATATAGATACTATTTTATTTATAAAATGAAAGAATGTTAATTAAACCTAATAGCAGAAAAATTGCTTTAATCGATGTGTCATAACGTCTAAGAACTTAGAAATTTTCAATAATTCAACGAATTATTTCTTGAATTATTAAAATTGTTACGTGCGGTCAAGGTGGCGATGGAATAACTGACATTCACCAAACCGGGTCAATAAATGGAAATTGATATTTCGATAAGAACGGATTTCACGGTGTGATTTGTTCAAAACTTTTGTAATGCACACAAAATTACTTTCGACGAAATCGGTTTTATCGTTTTTTTCCACATCTCGTAAAAGCGGCCGAGCCGAAACCGCAACAATTAAAAATGAAATGAAACCTTGAACTTTTAAAATTTTATTGATATTTTCGCAATCAAAGGATTTGTTTATTCGGGATATTTTAGGCAGAAAAGGTCAACACTGGTCAACACTGATGCTGGTATATTTGTTTTTATTATTTAAGTGCCTATAATGTCCTAAACCTCTTAGTTTTCGAGCTACAGGGTGTTATAATTTTAGAAAAAAAAACTTTTTAATCGTACATAATTTTCTTATTACTTCAGATATTTTTATGTATATTGATATAAACTTATCTTTTTAAAATCATTAATTTACATAAAATATTTTACTAACCACATTCAATGACCAATTCAATAATCAATTTAATCAATAAACAAATAATAATTGTTTATATTCCGGTCAGCCAGCGCCAGGAAACAAAAATTAAATCCAAGCACGTATTAATTTACAATTGCTTATTAACATAATTGAAATGTATAAAGTTTAAACCGTATTTATGTATACTTATAACCAATAATTATGTTATTAAATTGTTCATAATTTTAAATACCGAATACTCAAAAATATGCGCAGTTTTCCTTTCTGATGATCTATAAATACATAGTTGACCCACATTTTCAATATAATTCGTTTAATTCACTACATTATTACTCTAATTACTGCCTAAAATTCTTATGAATTGTATACAGGGTGACCAAATAGTTACTAAAGCTTCTTCATTAAAAGAGGATAAAGATGATAAAACATTTTACAAGGTGGCTATGACCGTTATGTACAGGGTGGTTCTGTTTAACAAAGCAATGAAAATTCTTATTGCTAAAGTTGGTCCAATTAATAGATAGTAGTAATGCAATTACTTCCGAAAATGCAATAATTATTTTGATTAAATTTAATTTCGTGAACAGCATGAGTTAAATACTTTCACATTTGAGACATATTAGTGTCTACCTAGTTATTTCAATCTTTGAAATTGTGACTGAAATTGTTGGTTTCATGCAGCTATTGCTAAATTCTGTGCAACACACATGCAGAAAGCGCATTTCTTCACATCTCGTTCGGTTTTCAATATTATCATTAACTCGTTCGGAGCGGATGGCGGATTAATTTTCGATTAGAATTGCCTGTATGCATTTAAATTAGTATAATAGTACATGAATTCTTGGATTCAATCGTAAAAATTTCACCTACATCTTCCTGCCTGAACTGTCGATTTTGTTCGATTATATTATATTCTATGTACCTATACTTAGCTCTAGGTATTGCTTAAGTTTCGGCGCATTTTAATGTCATCATCTCAACCTTTCTATCTACTAGCGTTTGAAACTTTCCCACAAACCACGACTTGCAAATTGCGTTTACCTATCGGCCTGTTTCGATGCGATTATACGCTAAACAACCTAGATGAGTCCTAACTGTGCACATTTATTCGCCCTACTTTTGTTGTAGTTTTTTCAACTAATTCGAAATGGTTAATATCATTCTAAATTTATTTTAATTATTACTGACTTTGTTTTTGTATAATAAAAATAAACACCGTCTGTCTAGGTCTAGATTTGTGGTTTTATTAGACGTTTATGAGGTGTAATAATTTATAAATTTCATAAATTTTTAATAATTTAATCAAGGTTAAATAACAACTTTTTTGAAGTAGGTAAGCGCATCAAAAATACTGTTCAAATTCCAAATACAAAATAGATACCCCTAGGCCTTCTTTTGCTCAAGAGATGTAGTTTCAACATAATGAAACAGGTACAGATTGCGCAAATTACAATTGTAACAAAAGACACACCTTTCCTAGAGTTAATATATCGATAGCACCATTAAGTAAGAGTAATCAATATTATGGCTTTTAACTAATTTTTACTCTTTACCTTAAGATTACTCTTTGCATCTAGAAGCAAAAGTTTGGGAATACTTCCTTAAGCATCTCGTACGTTTTTATTTACTATCACCTAATTGATATGTAAATTGTATTCATAATATTCCAAATAAATGAGCCTTGTAGAAGAGCCAAATTGTTAAATTGGATTTTTTATACACTGGTAAATCAAGTTTGATGAGGTAAATGTAGCCGTAAAAATATATATTATGGACTTCATTGATTTAGTTAAGATACGAGTGTAGTGTTTCTTATTAATGCTGTGACGTTATTTTAGGGAGTCATTTAAAGTGGATTTTTGCTCGCGACTTGGCTCAAAGGTGTTTTGAAAACGCTTAAAGATTTAATAAGGTAAATTTTTAATAATTAATACCTACGATTAATATTCAATACGATATTAAAAAATAAAATACTCGATTTTATTTCAATTCTAAATAGATCTGGTGTATGTGTATGTATTTAAGTGTAAAATCTTATCTACAGACTTTCGATATATTTTTTATTTTTAACTTATCTATTAAATAAACACACTGTAATAGAGGCATTTACCGCTTACTAGGTTATCACATACTATACATACCTACATACCTACATGTACATAATGTGAATAAACTTAAACATTCAAAAAGAGATAATTTTGCTTTGAAATGTACATTGTTGGTAACTAGGCAAAAAAAATAACGATTTACACAAATTGGAAATATATCAAGTGCTTTTATTAATTTGCTACCTTAAATAGGTTACATTAAAGAAAATATAAAAAATAATGTTTAAAATTATTAATAACAATAACGTAAATACCTAATTTCACAAGTTAATTTTAATATTTTTACTCAATTGCAATCCATTGCTTAACAACTTTTTCCTTGCTAAATTTACCTTGGATGCATCAAGATTTGCATAATTCGCGTTCTAAATTAAGCGTAGATTAACATCAAATTTAATAAAAAAAATACGTTACCTATTACAAATTATTTTGCATTATCTATTCGACAACTTTCGTTTTCTCCAAACTATTCCTACCTAGGTCAAATAAATCTGCTTTCCTCTCCGAATTCGATTTACTATTGCTGAATATTCGCGTTCGAAATTCGAAAACGAAATCGTGAGCAACATCCACGGGCAATATACCTATTATTCGAATTTAAATAACTTATATAATATCGTCGATAAAAACTTCCTTTTGTCATATCGGCCAATTAATTGCAATATTATAGAAAACGTGGATACGTTGACTTCGCATTTGCATTTGAATTTGATTTACGAACTTTTATAAAAGTTTCCAATTTTTACCGCGTGAAAAATATGCATATAGAAATTAAAGAAATTAATAACTTTCCTATTTTTCTATTATATTCAAATAAAAAATAACATAATAAATTAAATTTTACTTAACAAAACAAGCAAAAAACTCTATCGCATCCAATAACAACTTGCGACTTGTTAAGCAATCATTACGAAAATCAAACAATCAATCAAAGTTCAACTAAATCAATCAATTATTAGATAAACAATAATCGATATACCACTACTCGAAAATAATTACCTGGTACATACATTCATGCGACACCACATTTATTTATAACGTTCGTTTCCAGATAAGCTTCGGCGCTCAAACCTGACCTTTGCTGTGATAAAAGAGTCCGATAGTCGCGCGGTCATTCTGAAATGCACGCAGTGTAATCCCGACGTTGCTCCGGTCAAGATGGTGGTCCAGGAAAAGACCAGCAGCGCCAACCAGGCGATCAAGAACCTCATCGAGCTGATCGGCTTCCTCGTCTACTCGCTGACGCTGATGGTAGTGGCCGTCTACAAGCGGTGCTTGCCCTCCATTTACCAGAAGAAGAAGCGGATCAGCGGGGACGTGGCCCTGGTGACGGGCGGCGGCGGCGGGCTGGGGCGGCTGCTGGCCCTCCGGCTCGCCAAACTCGGCGCCACTGTGGTCTTGTGGGATGTTAATATTAAGGGTGAGTTTTGCACGAGTTTTTGTCTGGATTTTTGGCCGGTTTTGGGGTTGCTCAAATGCTTGAACACAACCGAATTTGGGCGAATTGTAAGAGGTTTAGCTGCAGCTGGATATTGGTAGATTATGGAGTGATAATATGAGATAAGAATGTTGTTGATGCAGAAAGATCGAGACTTGAATATGCCCATTGTCTATTCATTCATTGACTCTACACTCTTTTCTTAAACTTCACTTTTATCTAAACCAATGATTTTGGGGGTCAAAATTATTCTAAATAATCTAAACATGTTCAATCATTCAATTAGTTATTACAAGTGAACCGTGGATGCAGACATTTAGTGTTATTTGGTGTCTCTAGATAAATGTCTGTCAATAACCAATCTATTGAATGTAATTGATAAATGAATAGAATTATAGATTAAATTCAACTCCACGTGATTTCCTTATACTTTGCCTCTCCAATTATACTCCATTAAAGTCTATAAATATTATCTTGTGTATGCAGATGTATCTATTTGCTCTTACTTTTGTACTATTTCTTCTTCACATTTCTTGTTTGACCTTTTGGTGCGGATAAATAGCAAATTAGCCTGCTTTTAGAGCTCTCGTGAATATAAATAGTTTTAGTCTAATCCTCGAGAAAATAGGTATCCAGTAGAAAACGAGAATGGGGTGTCTAATAAATTTGATTTATTAAAGAAAGCTCTCGATTTTATAGAAATTTTACGACCTTTTACAAGCACACCCATGATCATCTTTCTAACATTAAAGTCTTTAATGAATGTAGGCACTTAGTTTTCGTTCATGAATATCTAGTAATGTTTTTAGTTTATTATCGATGCACTTGAATACTTAGCATTGTACTTGTTATTTGTAGTTAATTATTGAACTTTGAATGTATGCAATAGGTACCTAATTAATCAGTGCGATACATGGACATCCGTGGTAAAATAATTTATTAAGTGGCGTATATCTAAATTTTTTGTTAGATTCTCCATTTAAAAATCAATTAATAATTAGATATGTAGTTATAATTAAAAAAACTATAAATTTTAATTAGAGTTAGAATCAATTTGTATTTTGTCAACCTGATTTTTGGTGTTGACGAATTTATGACGAATGTTATAACAACCAATAATTATAAAACTACGCAAATAACTAATTTTTTCGATTATAATTCAGGAAAACGACTATTAACGACACGGAATATCGAATGATACACCTTTTTACTTTCAATTTCAACAAAATATAACTGCGTTTTTCAATCTTCATAATTGAACCTCGTACAATTGCCGTAATATCTTCACCCAACATGAACGATCGGAAGTAATGCTAATTTTACTAATTAACGGGAAAAAATATATTCTGTTGAAACGATGATATAGGTAGAGGAAGTCGTGAAAATCGAGTGTTTCATGAATACATATATTTCAAATAGAAATAGGAAATTTAGTGTTGTACCAACTTAACGGATCGTTAATTAAATCGTGACTACATACAAGAATAACTTTGTATAGATTAAAATTAAAACCTTTTGACAGGAAAAATAAAAAAAAAATATGAAAAAAATAGTTTGTAGAATAGATGTTTAACTGGAGGTATTAAAAATGAGAGAAAGTTTATTATAATTCTACAAAAAATCTATTAATCAATCAACTTTTCTGCTAGCAGTCAAATAAGCTTGTTAGGCTTTATTAAGTGTTTTTAATGAATGTTATTATTAATGATACCAAGATCTTTTTAATTTGATTATGTCAAAAATTACAAAATAAGCAGTGATAATACATTGCGCGATTACACATGTTATTACAAAATATTTACTTAATTTTATACCTTCCAACTTACTCAAATTTTCCAAATTTTGTTCATTATTTTATCTTTATAGACTTTTTCTCGCTAAACTATTAATAATATAATTGAAACAACTGGAACTGGAATCGCGATTCATAATCCACACTTTATAATTAATTTAATATCTAAGATATTATCTACGATTTCTTCAAGGTTTTCACACATGACTTTCTCTGCAAGTGCTTTCGGGCGCGCCGTTTCGATATTTTTTGTTTATTTTGGGTATAAGTACGTTATGTGGAAATGTAATGTAAAACTATGTAAATAATTGTCTTTGCATAACAAAAGATAGAATTTTGCGCATTAAATTATCTTAAAAGGGGTAAGTTTTATTAATATGTATTACATTAGATGTATGCAGTTTTGAGTATAAAGTTCTTGTTATCTAAAAATGCGTTAATTATAGATACTTCTTATTAATTATTATCTAAAATATGCTTACTTTACATATCTACTTTATGGGCATATTTATAATATTCTGTATGTTTGTATTATTTATTTATAATATGCTTACTTTTAGTTATGCCAGAATAAAATTTCAATTTAATTACATTGTGATAAAATACAAAATCAATGAAAATCAACATTGTTTTCTTGCAAATTAGTATACAATTATTCATATGTATATGTATAATTCATATGTAAATTGGTTGTGAAAACATGGAAAACTCTAACATTTCTTTAACTGTTTTATAATTTTTTGCAGGCGTTGATGAAACTGTAGGATTAGTCAAAGGCATAGGCGGAAAAGCCTATGGTTACCGATGTGATTTAGCTGATAAAGAAGACGTATATAGGGTAGCGAAAAAAACCCAACAAGAAGTTGGAGATGTAAGTAAAAAATCCCCTTATATTTGCCCTAATTTTCCAAAAGCTTTTTATAAGTGCACAGAAAGTGTTTTATATATTTTGCACTTCCGTTTTGCTTTTTCTCTAAGCACTTTAAATTATTAACCTACTTTGCGGGGTTTTTGTGCTAGCTGTTCTAACTGTTTTCTTTTTTTCAGGTAACTATTTTAATAAATAATGCGGGTGTAGTTTCCGGTCTACCTTTACTAAGCACACCGGATAATTTAATTAAAAGGACATTTGATGTCAATATTATTGCTCACTTTTGGGTAAGTCATACGTTCTGTATTTTTTACATTTTTTACCTCATTTTCAACGCAATAAATTCGATAATTTCACAATTCAACGATCCTCCAATAAAATGATAAATTGCCCAATTTAATCCAAAAATTATTATGGTTGTAAATTATTATTTATAGCCCGAGTTGATTCCGTTTAACCTTAAGTTGCCATTTAAACTTCGTCCAATTACAAACGTAGGTATAATAAACACCTTGTTATCTCCATTAATGAAATTCTTACGTCATGAAAATAAATAAAAAATTAATAATTTTTTAATCAATTTCGTTTAATAACCAGAACTGCCGAGTTCTGCGAAATGTACACATTTGAGGAACAAATTTAATGAATAATTAAATTATTGAGAATTAAGAGTATAAGAAAATTTACGAATCGAAATAAATGAGCATCTTTTCAACAGTGTAACGTCCTCTTATCAAATTGTGGTTAGTAACGATAATGCTCCACATACGAATTTCCTGTTTTGTAAACACGAACATAGCATTTAACATTATCTTCGGATAAATTTATCATTAGCCGAGACGCATATTCGATTTCTACAAATCAGTCGGAGGCGATTTTCCCCAATAGAAGAGCGCCTAATCGAATTTCAAGTTGAAAGATCGCGTAACGCGAGAGATTCGACCTCTAATGAATTTCTAACGAGAAATGAACTTGACTGGCTCGTTTCGCCTGAGAGAAATTATTAACTCTTCGTTCGAATCTGACGCACTTAACGTAATAATTTAGTAATTGCCAACTAGCTGTAACGCGAAAAATTCTGGGTTGAGTACTTTTTCGAAACCGGCGAGAAATCGTTACAAAACGACCATGGCGGAGATGGGTTTTTTTGAATAGGGGGTATCAGGGATTGAATAAGTGATTAGGGATTCCATATGACTAACTTATATTTAATATGGTTTTTTGAAAAAAAAATCCGATTTTTCTATAATGTGGTTTTTAAAATCGTTCAATAAGTTTAGGAGAACTTTTTAAGTGGTTTTTTTCAATGTAGTATTTCTCTAGAATTTTTTAATTAATGTATTGTAGACATTTTTTTCAATCTTACATATCTTATCTTATCGTAAGTGATTTCTTATATGCCTACATTTTTTGATTATTTTAATAATATTAAAAAATCTTATCGAAAAGTATCATTAAATAGAAATGTGAAAAAAAGGTATAAAAATCCATCCAAAAATTGTTCAAAAATTAAAAATTAGTTCGGGGGGCACTATCCTTCATTGCCCCCTTCATCTACGCGCTTGCAAACGATCCATCCGAATGTATACAAAAAATTTATGATTTGTACAAACACATTTATTAGAGTTTCGTTTGCACAAAAATGTACCCATTTACGATTTTTTTTATTCCGGCAAATTAGCAACGGAATTGCCGAACAGTTCGAATCGACCTTAAATTATCCAGATCGCTTGTACATTTATAATAAATAACTTTTATTTTCAAAAATACTTTCGAATGTGCGAAGATTCGATTGAATAACGAAGTGGCTTTGAATCGGGGTCACTTTGTTAATGAGTTTTTTTTCGACCGATATGTTGCAAAAACAACAAAAAAAGTGCTATCAATTTATACACGATGTATTATAGAATTTTGCAATTATTTGACACCCTGTACATTAATTATTACAATGTGGAATAACTTATATACTCTAGGATTATACCTACATTAAAAATAATTTATAACGATTCAATACCTATAATTAGCAGATATTATGATAGAAATGGTTGAATAAAGTGAAATTAAAGACAAACTTCGAGTGATTAGCTGAAGCAAATCGAAAAATGCCCGAGCAAAAAAATTACTGTTATTCGTATGTGTTACACTTTTGTATGTCGATTTTTAATGGCCCCAGACTTTGTTTCAAAGTAATTATCATACTGTTCTGTACAATTAGATACTGCTTTTACTTTAATTAAGCCGATTAATTTCTTCGCCACGATAAACTTTTCAAATTCTAATGAAAGCATCGCTTATTTGAATCATTCGTACTTACCTGTAGACGTGTATTAGTTATAAAGTTTTATGCAGTGTGCCTTTTTATTCTAATTTTTGCATAATATGACTTAATTTGATTTAATTCTTCAACTCCATACTCCATGCAGGAACACACTGTATTATAATAGTGTATATGATGGTCGGCGGTTCTATCGTTCACCCCGAACTCTCGCTCCTTTACTATCTATATGAATAAAGGGGTGTAAGGTAGACTGGGGCAAATGTAAAAATGGGGTAAATGTAATATTTTTACCTATTATGTTAATGTTTTTTATTATTTTTATAGTTCTTTTGTGCATTAGACAGGGTTTGTTTCTTATTTTTTCTTTATTATTTTGTAGCTCTGTTATTTTTTGAAATAAATAAATAAACAGCATATCAAATTTTAGAGGAACCAAATATGTATTTACAATTGCCCCATATGTTTTTCTATATAATTGTATTGCACTTTAGAACCGTTTGTTACATTTACCCCATGGTACGGGGTAAATGTCAACATTTTAAAAAATATGTAAAATCGTTTTCTTCCTTTTTCAAAAAAACTTTTTAATACCTCGATTCTTTAGTTTAGGAAGTTGTGAATTTAATGTGGTATCAGCATTTCTATTAAGAGAAAAAATAAAGCCACATTTTAGGATTTAATTTGAACAAATCAAATTTTACAACCGATTTGCCCCAGTCTACCTTACTAGAAAAGAAACGAGAATTCAGGGCGAGCGATAGGCCCGCCGACCATCATACACAGCAACAACAGTTAAAAGATTCCCCCAATTTACAGACAGCAAAAGCGTTCTTGCCTAAGATGATAGAAAACGACCGCGGCCACATAATAACCATCGCCTCGTTGGCGGGCCACCTGGGGGTGAACAAGCTGGTGGACTACTGCGCGTCCAAATACGCCGCCGTCGGCTTCGACGAGTCCCTCAAGGCGGAGCTCGACTCGCAGGGCGTCAGGGGCGTCAAGACGACGGTGGTCTGTCCGTACTTCATCCAGCAGACGGGCATGTTCGACAACGTCAGCTCCAAGTTCCTGCCGAAGCTGAAAGCCAACGACGTGGCCGACCGCACCATCGAGGCCCTGCTCTACGAAGAGGACGTGGTCATTCTGCCGGGTTATTTGAAGGCGTTGCTCATGTTGAAGCCGTAAGTTGAATACAGGAGAAAACGGAGAATGATTGAGATTACGAGCTGAAATTTGCTGCAGGTATAGTACACATAATTATGTATGGTATTTCATATTTGGGATCCGATTTGGTAATCGTTTAATCTCGAGGAAAGGTCCTGTCGAATGGCCACCACGTTCATACGATTTGAGGCCGTTGGATTTGTTCTTTATTGGGTTACCTAGTCAAAGCTACATGCAGCAAACCAATAACTTTCGAGGAGCTAAGGAATAATATCGAACTCGAAATTGCCAATATTCCGGTCGATAAGAGTGATTGAAAATTAGTTCTAAAGCTGTCGATTCTCCTGATGGTCGATTACCGTACATAATTGTAACATGTGTACTACACCTGGAGTCAATATCAGCACGAAAAATCAATTATTCTGTGTTTAATTTAAATACAAAATTCTTATGCGTCCTTATTGAAAACCCCCTTATACTTACAGGGTGTCCCATAGATGATAATAATTCGGGTTCGTATAGATAGATGACTTCAAATTAAGGGTATAACTTGTTATAAATATTGTTCATTTTTGTTCACTGTCTCCCAGGGAGTACTGTAGGATTCATTTTATCACCAAATTGGGCATACATGTGTAGCTAATAAACCACAAAAATGTTATATTGTTCCCATGTTTAGTGTAGAAATAAAACATACAAATAAGTATTAAATTTTCAACTTTAAGTTGCCTCTAGATCAAAAATAGAGGCTCAAATGAACAAAATTTATATGAAGTTATACCCTTATTTTGAAGTAATCTATACGTTCCCGAATTATATTATCGACATCTATTTTCTGAACCCCCTGTTTAGCGAGAAAACGGTATAATATAGCGAGATTTGTGTTCCAGAATAATGCCTTGGTCAGTGAAGTCGATGTTCTCGAAGAAATTCATACCGGACGCGTCTCCGCATCACCAACCCACGCCGATAGTACAAATTAAGGAATCCGAGGATTCCTTCCCGCAAAAAATCCTCAATAACAGTGTCAGTGCCTCGGTTACGCAAACCAAGCCTAATTTAGATAAGCAAGGTAAAGATCTTTGATGGTATTTTTTTAAGATCGATTTAAGTAGTTAATAAAATATTTTTACGGTTTTGCTGTTTTATTATCCGTCGCCGAGGTGGGAAATTCGCCTGTGAAACGAAGCTCGTCAGTTTTATTTAAAATAAAATATGTACAAAGTTATTTTTTCTTTTTCGGCGCGTTCTCCAGTCCTTTGACGTACATTTTTGGCACTTTGTACTTTTCTAAAACGAAAATCCAGCCATTATACTAGCATATGAAAAAATGGTCGCTAAAGGAATAACAATAAAGCGTACCTATTAATAAATTGTAGATGAATAAAACTTGATTTCCTTGTACTAACAACTGATCGCACTTCTTTCCTGGAGGTCTGCTAATACTAGTACTAGCGGCAACGCCGTGCTGGCATTCTTTAGCGAATTCGTTGATACGGATTCCGAACAATTCCAGATTATCCACCAAAGTCACCTTTTTGTTTCCGGATCGAACTGAAAGAATTACAGTACAGAATTTGAGATGCGTTTTAACTATTTCAATAGATTATGCTGCTTATTATTATATATTTAAGTACCTGATACTGATAGTGCTATGGGTGAAACTTTGCCTTTGCCTAAGATTTCTTCGTGACCGGATTTGACTTTGTAGCAATTCTTCATAGCTGCACAAACTTTCTCGATAACTTCTTCCCAAGCTATGGGGTGTTCGGTTTTGCAAATTTTCGCTAGCTTGTTTTTAGGCTTTACGTACCTATAAATAAACGTAAAAACTATTCATTGAATTACAGGCAATGATTACTTACTTCTCGTTAGCCTCATCTTGGAGATTGTTTTCTTTTATGTATTTTGTGACACATTTTCGTATTTCAGGCATTTCTAAAGTTTCTCCTTTGCTGAAAATGTATGCATTATAATATGAATATTAATGAAGAGAAAACTGTATACCTGTGGCCTTCAAAAAGCTGCACAACAGCTTCGGTAATCACATAAGATTCTGTTACATTCGTAGACTGTTTATTCTCATTTTCGCCTGTATCTTTTTTAAGTCTCTCCGTGGGCGACAAGTAAAAGGCTTGCAATTTTGGATGATCTCGATTTATAGCTGTTATAGCTTCGACGCCCGATTTGATTTCTTTAACTGTTACAATCCCTTCCTAAAATATAAATCAAATTTTATTAATTCATACTGTTCATCATATCAATACAAAAAGTTACCTCACACATCTTCTTCAAAAAAGGTTTTAGCTTTTTATACGACGTTTTTTTAATGTCTAACGTCTTGTCTTCGGGGCAAATAGCCAACATGTTGAGTTTAAAAAAGTTAGAAGTTAATACAGGTAACGATAAGGATTTGGAATATTTTACAGCGCCTAAAAAACAGAACAACAGCAACTCGTCCATCTCTTCGACCGAATCTTTAACAGTTTCTTCGGTATTATCCTCAGTGTTTGCTTCTTCATTAGTTTCTACTACATCTAAATCATCGTTAGTACTTTCCAAATTTAAATCGGTTTCAACTTGAATATTCTCTTTCTTTGGGGAACCACCTAAAGCAGGGAAATCCTCCTCGTAGCTTTTGATAGACAACCAATCAGGAGGGCCCAAATTGGCCAAAGGTAAATTAGGCATTCCTTCCAAAGTGCACAAATGATCACCGTAAAAATGATATATATTAACACATTTCCCTCGCGAATTCTCCCTAGTCATAGCATTGGAACCTTGACTAGCAACGCCTACAGCTACAGCAGCCTTGTTTGTGGTTAAATTCACGTAAACCGTATCGAATTGCTGGACAGTACCGTACTTAGGTAAATTCGTGTGAGAAGGAGGGGTAACAACCCCTGGTGACATGAGATCAGCACCAGACGTAATGAAACCCATGACTTGCTGGTGCGTGGTAAAAGCGTATATAATATTAGGAAATTTCCACAACAAAAATACCGTTGGATAGAACCTTTTTTCATATTCAAAAACCATCGGCCTTTTCTGGATGGAGTAAACAATTATTGTCGCTTCATTGTGCGTGACTACTTTTAGAACGTTCAGGGCTTCTTTTTTTGGCAATAATTCGTTAAAATCGCTTTCTGTTAAATTGGGGAAGGATTTTAGAAGCAACTCTTTGAAGTGTTTCCTGAAAAATAAGCAAATGAAGCACGTTTATGATTGATTGAATGAGTAAAAACCTTTCAGTTCCTTTGGATTGGGTGTTGCTCTTCACTTTTACTGGCTTTTTGAACATTGTATGAGAGTATTAAAAATGTAACAAGATGTTTAAAAAATTTATACCCTAACCTTATTTTTTGATTATTTTGGTAATGCAATGAAACTGGTGTAAAAGGCCACCTAAAAATGATTGCATAATTTTATTGCTAAAATTTGAGATACAATTACAAATAATATTTTAATACGAAATAATACTTTAATTTTGTCACAATTTTTCTGTTTTTAATATGAATAACGGTCAGTATAATAAAAAAATTTTTATAAATATAAAAACAGAAGATTTTAATTCTGACAGAATGACAGTGACAATTAAAACTAACGGAACTGCCAACATAATACAACAAATACGAGATATTATTTGGAAGTTGACTAATTTTAATGAAATAAATTATTTTAGAAGTTAATAAATCCAATTTAATAATTATGGTAAGTATTATTAACGTTGTTGCCTTAATTTCAGTCGTATCGATTACTTATATTCCTCACAATGTCTGATATTCAACCCGTTATTGTCACACCCATTTTATTGCTTGTATATTTAGCATTTACTCAATTTATCAGAGTATTTATAACACTCACGTTCAATAAAATACGTTATAAATACTTGCGTTGTCAATAACAATGTGTTTGGATACTTTTTTTTTATTCAATAATACATATGCTCGCCGTGTTAAATTCATGAAGTACTTTAAAGTTTCCTGATTTTAGAGTGACCAATTTGACTGTGCACTGGATTTAATGAGGCGCCTGCCTCCGCAACAAATCGAAAAAAATTTGAGCGATTTAATTGATTTAGTGCCAAGTCTTTGTGAGGATCTTCTTTCGTCTGTCGATCAACCTTTAAAAATCGCTAAAGACAAGGATTCGGGCAAGGATTTTCTTTTATGTGATTACAATAGAGACGGCGATTCTTACAGGTGAGTAACTTATTTGGGAACCATTAGGAAAGTACTTTAAATGTTTGTTTTAGGTCACCATGGTCGAATACCTATTACCCTCCGTTAGAAGACGGTTCGATGCCCTCCGAGAGGCTAAGGAAATTAGAATTAGACGCCAATTTAGCGTTCGATCAATATAGAGAAATGTATTTCGAAGGTGGCGTGTCTTCTGTTTATTTTTGGGACTTAGATCACGGTTTCGCAGGTACGGATAATTCGTTAAATAGTTTCTACATGAATACAGTATTACTATTAACTATGTATCAACTAAAAATGTTGTGATGATAACACGAATTCAATTATTGCAAGTGACTAATACTTAGCGTTTTCGGTTTGACAGGAGTAATTTTAATAAAAAAAACCGGCGATGGTAGTAGAAAAATTAAAGGTTGTTGGGATTCCCTGCACGTAGTGGAGGTACAAGAAAAGGGTTCCGGAAGGAATTCCCACTACAAAATGACCTCCACCGCAATGCTGTGGCTGCAAACCAATAAACAAGGCTCGGGTACCATGAATTTGGGCGGTAGTTTAACCCGACAGGTACGTTTAATAACCATATCTGAATAGTTTTCGAGCATTATATATCTCTTCTTTATTTCTAGATCGAGCTGGATGCGGCCGTAAACGACATCAACCCCCACATTGCCAACATCGGTCGAATGGTGGAAGACATGGAAAACAAAATTCGGAACACCTTAAACGAAATCTACTTTAGCAAAACCAAGGACATAGTCAATAGCTTGAGATCGGTGCAACCGTTAACGGAGAGCCGTCAACAGCAAGCGCTTAAACAAGACTTGGCCGCCGCCCTTCAGCGTAGACAAAACAAATCCGAGAACTGACTGGTTTGCGTCGCATCGACTATTCCAAGTATCTCGGCCGAAAATATCGAGTCAGGTTAGGATTACTTATACTCAGACTCTCCACGTTTTTGAATAAGGAAGGTAACGAACGGGGTATCTACTAAATTGAATTCGGTAACCGAAATCTAAAGCGATTCGTTTGTAATTGTTGTAATAATTTCAATAAAAATGCTTGATTTTTTTGTTAATGAAGTTCCAAAAGGTTTAAGTGCACTTATTGAATTGAAATCGTGCTTGGTTGATCTCGCTGTTCCATGTAAATTATTATTCAATTGTACTTTAGTAGATACCTTTCTAGTATTTTATATAATATTGCGTTTTAGAGTGGTCTATTTCTTAAAATTTTATACCTGACCGTCGATTTTACAGTATTCTAAAAATAGTCTATACTTTTCTTTCGGGCAATGTAATAATACTTTTCCAAATAAAGTTTGTGTTGCTTAAAATTCGCCAAAAAAATCGCTTTTTGCACGAACTATTTATTTTCTCTAATTAATTGATTTGTCGAAAACTTATTTGTAATTTTTCGTTTAGGTAGATATATTTTTATGGAGCTCAATTTTTTCCTCTTGTTATAATGTAAATTTCTATTACAAATACAATTTTTTATATATATAAAACGTATTTATTGATCAAAATGTTGTACATTTTCATAAATCTACATTTTACTAACAATCAAACTAGTTAATTTTCAGACATTTACAGTTGGCTCTTTGCTTTTATTAAGCATGTTAAGATGGAACTGTTCCCTAAAAAATGTTTCTTTCAATCATTTGTACTTACCTTGTATAAATTAAAAATATATCCCCGTGAGAGTATCCGTTACATTTCAAGTATAAAGTTTCGAATTAGCGAGGTAAACGTCCACGATGAAACCTTAGAGGAATAAAGTTGTAGTCTCTCATGTGTAGTAAATATTTCGCCACATCGATTCGAATACACAAACATATTATACAGTACTCGATTCTAAACGACTCATGGATGCCGAAATTCCTCCCAAATTGTTGTGCCTGTCGCTCCAAAAGATAAGTTACGGTTTAGGACACATTTTCAACGACTTGTGCGCTGCTATGTGGTTCAGTTACACGTTGTTTTACCTGCAAGTTGTTCTAAACATGGGCGCAGCGACTGCTGGCTTACTGCTGATGATAGGTAAGATTAGCCACCCTCAAATACTATTTGAATATTTATAGATGTGTAAGAAGGCTACAAAAACAACATGTACTTCCACTCGATGCCTCAATTAGATTCTTGTAAACTATTTTTAGGTCAAGTAGTAGACTCGTTAGCGACGCCTTTGGTAGGTTTTTGCATAGATTACGTCCAGCATCGGCGTTTATGGCATCTTACGGGTACTTATTCATCTATTAGGCAGTGTAAAATATCATTTAAAGGTTGATTTGTAGGTACATTCGCTGTGGCTTTGGGATTTTACTTGATATTTTCCTTAAAACCAAGCTCTTTCGATGTATCCACCATTGTGTATTACATTTCCACTATATCGCTTTTTCAAATCGGATGGGCTACAGTTCAAATATCCCATCTTTCGATTATACCAGAAATTTCAATAAGCCACAAACACAGCTCTGATTTGACTGCTATCAGGTAATGATACTTTAATATTGATTGTCTCAAAATATGATCATGATTCATGACTAATTTACAATCTGTTCACTTAAGAAGGTACCAGTTATTCTGTAAGTTTTGAACAATTTTTAGGTACATAGCATCAGTATGCTGCAATATATGCGTGTATTTGGTAACTTTAGCAGTGTTGAAAAGCGATGGAACCAACGAAGATATCGGTCCCGGTGATTTTTACAAATTCAAAGTAACAATTACCTGCTCGTTTTGTTTTAAAGCAAAGTTAATCGTTATTTTCTCAGGCAATAGCGCTTATAATAATGTTCATCGGCTTGATGGCGTCGATGCTCTTTTACTGTGGGCTACTGGCCAAATACGAAGACCAGCCGGAGATGGAGCCTTTGCTAAATAACGGAGAGATAAAAGACTTAAATAAGCAAAACAGCAGGCACTTTCTGCGGTTCTCTTTGACTTATTGCGTATCGATTATGTAAGGAGTTTTTATTGTATATTAATTTTCTACGAAAACTCATTGTACAATTGTAGGTATATGTGTTCGAGGTTATTCACCACCCTTAACTTGATTTATATACCGCTTTACATCGACGAAAGAGGGCAATTGAATAACATCGAGAAAGATAGTCTGCGCCAAACTATCGCTAGCATACCTTTAACTTCCTACATAGCATCATTTCTTACATCTATTTTACTGAAATTTCGCATAGGCTTCGTAACCGATCAGGTAATTAACTTTTTAATAACATAATTTTTGTGTTATTTTTAATTTGGTCGTTCTCCAGATGACTTACTTGATAGGCTCCATAGTTGGGATTGTTGCTTCGATTTGGATTGGCGCTGGAATTTCTTCTCGAACCGATAGCGAGTTATACACCATCGCTGCTTTATTAGGTTAGTATTTGCAAAATAAGATTTTATATGCATTGAAAATGCGATATATTTTCGTAGGAATAACCGGTTCGACAACCATGGTTTCCAGTTTGTGCCTCACTGCAAGTTTCGTTAAAATCAACAGCTTGGGCGGAGCTCAAGTTTACAGCATTGTAACTTTTACAGATAAATTGATATCCGGCTCGATTGTGCTAGTTGTCCAGCATATGTGAGTTTAATTGATGATTACAGCGGTTATTAAATTAATTATTGCTCATTTTAGGCAGTGCACACCGAAAGATTCGTGCCCGTACTTCTACAAAAACGTAATGAGTTATATTTCTGCATCGGTTTCAGTTATAGCGATGTCTGCTTTAATATTTCTGCACATTCAAACTAAACATAGTAAAAAAACTATGGTGATTTCGTAATTTGCCAGTTAGTATGTTTTAGGGAGAGGTCAAAATTATTTGAAGTGAGTTGAAAGTAAATAATAACTCTTTCTGTCACTCTTACTTTTATTAATAAAATAATCGTTTCATTACAAAATCAAAAATAGGAATTTTTTGCGTCGAAAAAATAATATGTAACTAGTTCCACTAGTTAAATCAAAAGATTTGTTTGGATAATAAATAATTTTTTAAACGAAACGTTCTTTACTTAATGAATTGCGCCGATTAAAATTCGGCAAATCCGCAGAAATAACAGTACATGCCGCATTCCAACCAAAATGAGATCAAATAACCGATTGTCATCCAACCCACCGGCTATTCGAATGGAACGTTAAAATGCCGCAGATAACGTCATTTCGCACTAAACAACAACCGGCGTGCATTTTATGCAACATAACCGGCCCCCGCGGGCGCCTCGCCTCACGCCATCGCCTCCTTCTCCTTCTCGATTTCCACCTGCGTCCTGAGCGGCTGCATCTCCTTCTCCTGCACCACGTTGCACGGCACCGAATTGAACTTCTGCAGCTTCCCCGTGCCGAAGATCAGGTAGAACACGGCCCCGAACGCGTACGTTCCCACCAAGATAGCGAACACGTACCGCCACGTGGCGAACGTGCTGTCGGAGGCGGTGATCAGCGCCACGATCTTCGTCGACACCCAGCCCGATATCGACGACAGCGTGTTGGCCATGCCGAAGATGGTGCCCGAGAAGTTCGGCGCGATGTCCAACGGGTTGGAGAGGTAGCCGGCCGTCACGGCGCCGTTGAAGAACAGCGCGCAGGTGAACACGGTCACCGACAGCGCCGCCGTGTTGCCGCAGATCGACTGGATGAGCATCATCAGGGCGGGCAGGGAGCAGGCGAACGCGGTGAATATTTTTCTGGTCGCCGTCGTCGAGAGCCTGCCCGATTGGCGCAGCCGGTCCGCCACGAAGCTCGCTATCACGGCCATCGCGTATTTACCTAAAACATTTTAATAACATTATTGCACGTTGCTAATATCCCTAGTAGTTTATACTTCATCCATCGAACCAACGGAGTAACCAAAACAAGGTTAGGCTGTTTGGCTCCTTACGCTGACCAATCACTGGTGATCACGCGTTGATCCAGCGTCTAAACTTGTTTTAGTTACTCCGTTGGTTGGATGGATGAAGTATAGAAATAACGACTTATATCCCTAGTAGTTTAGAAATGACGACTTTTAATAGGTTTATATCGAGTCCGATTTTAACTAGGAAGAGTCAAAAACTAATCTTAAAAGAAAGCTTTCCGAATGCAACATATTTGTAAAATGTTGTTAACCCCCTCCTTTATCTGCTTTAATCTAATACCATTCGATGATAAATTATTTTGCGATTTTTTTAACGATTCTGAGAAGGAATTATTCGAGTTCCCACAATGGAAGATTAAACTTGTGATGAATTTGACGGCGAATAACGGTCGCGAATAAAAACTGGTTAGATAAAAATTTACGCGAATTAATTATTCAAACAAGCGCTCGACAACTTGGCAAATAAAGTGGATTAAACGGAATTTAATTTTTTTAATACCAGTCAATTAGAGTTGCGTCATTCGTGCGATTATCTTATCTCATCCAGACGAAATTAATAATCGTAATCCATAATAAAAAAATCATAAAGTTCGTTTGGAGGAGGTAATACAATGCAAGGTAACTAACAAATTGCATTAGAGATTTATGACAATGTATATTTGATAATGTATTTCGTTTATTTAAAAAGAAATTCCAACGATTTAGATAAGTTTGGAATAGGACTAATATTAATGATATGTGAAATATTTACCAATGCGTGATGAAAAGCTTCCCGATACTCTGCAACGTTTCATTGCGGAATATTAGAAGCACCATCAAGAGAATTAATTATAATACTCTTGAATTATCTAAAAATCAATTATATCGAATGTCCTAATATTCAAAGAATACTAGTCATCTTACGTGAAGTAATGAAAAGACGACATTCGCATGATGAATTCGAATGATAACATAAAACATACAAGTTATTTAGTACGTACCGAAATAAGGTAGGCTCGATAAAACTCCGTTCTGCTTAATATCGAATTTCAACACATTATGCATATAGGTAGGCAGTTGATTGACCACGGTAAAGTAACCGAATACCGAGCAACCGTGGGTAATAATGATCGCCCAAACGGGCATGCTGGTCAACAGGGCCCTCCACGGCACCCTGTCCGGCTTGGTGGTCTTCGAACTCTCCATTTCGGCAATCTTTGTCTCCAATTCGAAACGTTCTTCGGGCGTTATGCGGGGATGCTGGGCCGGGGAATCGAACACCAGCACGAACCACAATACAGACCATACGATCCCTACGGCACCAGTTACGTAAAAAACAGATTCCCAACCAGATACAGTGATTAAGTAACCACAAACCTGCACAAAAAATCAAATTGTTCATGAGTTTATGTCCGTACAGGGGGTTTTCTTCGATGAAATATTCGATATCTAGAAGCAAAACGGTTATGAAGGGGGGACGTCGTGCAAAATTTTAAATTATCTCCGCGCGTTTTATAATTTGCTTCATTTGCAATATCCGATATACTACGAGTAATTACCCACCCAGAAGGTTTTTACGTGGGTGGACTAAGCGCAAGGGTAATACATTAGAGGTGATACCATTTTACAAGAGATGAAGTTAACCTTTAGAAAAATAGAAGTTGTAGTGATTGCAGAGATTATGATACGATGTAAATTGAATTAGCTGGTATCAATCAGGAAAAGTGCTGATTATTTTCTAAATTTCATGTCTACATTGACCCAAATGAGCTTTTCTAGGTCACTAATAAGACTAGTTTGCATACTTACAGGGTGTTTTTGAATAATATGGCAATACTGAAGGGGGTGTTTCGTGTACCCATTTTAAGAAAAAGACTTCATATATTGTTTTTTTTTTCTTAAAACTTTAACATCCTATATGTCAAAAGTTAAGACGTTTAGGACATTGGTTCATATGAAGTTTTTTTCTTAAAATGGACCCAACAAAATCACCTCCTTCAGTATTTGCATGTTATTAAAAAACACACCGTATAGACTTGAAATTTAGCACTTTTTCCTGATTGATACCAGCTAATGCAATGCGCAATTGGGCCACTCAAATACTAGTAAAACCAAAGTGAATCGAGACACAAATCCCACATTCCCGAAAAAAAAAATATACCGACAAACCGCATAATTTTAAATTTTGCATAATAGCTAACAATTCCTATACACCATCGCGATAGATACTTACGGGCAACGTTAGGGCGGCTCCCAGAGCGCTGGCCATCATGTTCGCCATGAACTTGGACCTCTCCAACGGCGGTATCCACTTGGCGGCCATGGGGGGAATGGCCGGCCAGGTGGCGCCCAAGAAGAACCCGATCAGGGCGCGCACCGTCACCGACACGTAGAAACTCCAGTAGCTCGCCGCCGGCGTCAGCACGGTAAGGATGCTGGCCATCAGCATGCCGCCGCCGAAGATCCGCTTCGCGCCCACTATCTCAGCCATTCGGCCGCCTGGTAGCTCCGTCAAGATGTAACCCCAGAAGAAACTTCCTAAAAGGTCGTTTTTCTGGAAGGGATTTACTCTATTAGACATGTACGTGCAAGAAGATATGGTGTAAAGATCTCGGCCTGACGATGGAAGACCGCGATTTTCAATTGAAAAATTACATTATTCTTTTTATTAAGTCGAAATCTTTAGTTCGTTACATTTCTAAATGATTCTGGGGCGTTCTGGATTGTTCTATACAGTTCTAAATGATTCTGGGGCGTTTTCGATTGTTCTAGGCAGTTGTAAATAATTCTGGAACTTTCTAAATGGTTCTGAAACGTTCTAAATGGTTTTAGACAGTTCTAAATGACTATGGAACGTTCTAAATGGATCTGAAGCGTTCTGAATGGTTTTAGACAGTTCTAAATTATTCTGGAGCGTTCTAGAGGTAGGTTTAGACAGTTCTAAATGGTTCTGGAACGTTCTAAATGGTTCTGAAGCGTTCTAAATGACTATGGAATTTTCTAATTAATGGTTCTGAAGCGTTCTAAATGGATCTACACAGTTCTAAATGACTATGGAACGTACTAAATGGATCCAAAGCGTTCTAAATGGTTTTAGACAGTTCTAAATTATTCTGGAGCGTTCTAGAGGCAGGTTTAGCCAGTTCATAATGGTTCCCGAACGTTCTAAATGGATCTACACAGTTCTAAATGACTATGGAACGTTCTAAATGGATCTGAAGCGTTCTAAATGGTTTTAGACAGTTCTAAATTATTCTGGAGCGTTCTAGAGGCAGGTTTAGCCAGTTCATAATGGTTCCCGAACGTTCTAAATGGATCTACACAGTTCTAAATGACTATGGAACGTTCTAAATGGATCTGAAGCGTTCTAAATGGTTTCAGACAGTTCTAAATTATTCTGGAGCATTCTAGAGGCAGGTTTAGACAGTTTAAAATGGTTCTGGAACGTTCTAAATGACTATGGAACATTCCAATTAATGGTTCTGAAGCGTTCTAAATGGATCTACACAGTTCTAAATGACTATGGAACGTTCTAAATGGATCTGAAGCATTCTACATGGTTTTAGACAGTTCTAAATTAGTCTGGAGCGTTCTAGAGGCAGGTTTAGACAGTTTTAAATGGTTCTGGAACGTTCTAAATGGTTCTGAAGCGTTCTAAATGGATCCGAAGTGTTCTAAATAAATTTGTAGCGTTCTAAATGATTATAGACAGTTCTAAATGACTATGGAACGTTCTACATGGATCGGATCCGTTCTAAATGGTTTTAGACAGTTCTAAATGATTCTGAAGCGTTCTTAATGGTTGTAGACAGTTCTAAAATGATTCTGGAGCGTTATAGATTGTTTTAGATAGTTCTAAATGATTTGATTCAGGCCGAGAACTTTCCACCCTACCCTCGTATGTATTAGTAAATAATGCAACTATTGTAGACCGATTTAAGTACCCAAGATCTTCTAGTACTCCATCTACTCCGTTGCCAGCATGTGGGTGATAAAGAGTCTACTTCGAGTGGTGCTTCACCAATTAAATGCGTTAGCAGAACTTAATCAAACCCCACTGTGTACGGTTAGTAAAATTTATCTTTACCTGGGAAGATGTCCAATTGAACTGGTCGCTGCGTACCGGTACGGCTGTCGTGGTGAGATTCGTCGAATTTGCCGCGATTGTCGAGTTCGATTTTATCATATCCACAACGGCAATAGTTATGTTCACTCGCAACATGTAGTTGAACATGAAGCCTATTATCACCATTATATTTAACATCTGTCGACATGTTAGAAAATCTGGAAATAGGTGAATTGGAATTAGTTTGTTTCCTGAATGGGTAACGACGGTGTTTTCTACATTTACAGCTTTTCTACAGCTAACACTTCTTGTTTGGATAAATAGGAGAGGGTAGATTAATTAAAAAATGATCAAAGTTAGGAATATGCGTGGATTGTGTCATCGTTGTAAACCACCGAGCCGAGCGAATATTATTATTCAAATAAAAATTAAAATAATACGTTTTTACGAGGTTTCTAACAGGTTTCATTTAAATAATTATATTCCGAGTTTAAAACGAGGTGTACGGAATGGGAATAAAAATGTGAATATTAATTACAACTATTGTGATCTACATAAAATAGTGTTTCTTTCAACTTCATAACAACCGGGTATTAAACGTTTACCTTCACCTTCGCACGAACTCCGATAATTGTAGGCAATCAAACAAATTTACTCGTAATAAACATTTGAGAATTATTTTTTTTATAATAATCCTCGTTTATACAAATGAGGATAAGGAGACTAAATTAAATTTTTTGTGTTACTTTAAAGCCCAAAACAAATGCTTTATGAAAAAAATGGTTAAATCCCACTCGTTAAATTAACAAAAACGTTTCGAAACAATTAATAACTACCTTATTATCAAAATTAAAAAATTGAGAACAGACGTTTCCGGTAAATTAATAATTGCTCATGACCTCGTGGTGAATTCTAAGATCAGTGATCAAGATCACCACATGTGACGCTTCTATAGTAATGTAAACACGCAGATAAATTAGTATATTTTACAGGATATTTAAACGAAACCTTCAAACTATGAGAATTACATTACGATGGTTAAAGGGTATAGGATTATAACATATTAGATGCTGACTTCAGAGTAAATTTTGCAGGTAAAATCTCATATGATTGGATAAAATAAAATATGTGCAATATGTGCAATTTTTATTGTAGATACATACAATTTGTTAACTATGCATTCAGCTGGAATCGATTCCTTATCATTTTTTCAATCTTACCCAAACGTTCTGATAAAAAAAACCTTCCTATATTATCTAATTTAACAGCAAAAATTTTTGTAAAACCGTAATCTCATCTCCGAACAATTTTTGTATCGAAAGTTCACTCAATTCGAAATAACAGTTACCTAATATCAGAGTAGAGTTATCAGGAAAAATAATTGCGCGTTGCAACTGCAAGCTCTTATTACAGTAGCATAATAGCATGCAATTTCGAACAGTAGAAAGGTATCTCATACACATTATTCTTAATTAAAATCATTCTTTTCCAACGCAGGCGCCGCTCTTCTGCGTCTCGTTTATTTTTCATAAATACATATAATTTTATTGCAACCTCTCGTTTATGCATTCTCGGTGCACTTAGTATGTTAATTATTGTTTTCGAATTGCCCATTCATTTCTCCGCGAGCATAAATTATATTCTATTTTCGCGCTAGATAATTTTCAAATGGGAAAAAAATAACCGTCGAGGAGAATTCGACCTCACTCGGATCACAATCTGGTTTTTTAAAGTAAATTATAGCTGTACCAGGTTTAATTGCCGATTTATGAATGCGAATTTTTATAAACCCAACCAGTTTTTAACTCATGCGTTACGACATTCCGAAAGCGCTACGCAACCGCCATATGAGGGTTATTTTCGCCCATTATATTCATTTCTTTGGATACTAAAAAAAATTTACTTACAAGGTATTTTTCGAATAATTTTGCTTTAATAGAGATTCCACTAAAATTCATTAATCTACTGATGAAAGTACATACATACTAGATTAAAATTGACAATAAATCTCATTGAACTGATGCCCACACAATCTGGATAAAAAATGCGAATTAAATTTAAAAAAATACTACCTTAAATAGAGGACTAAGGACGCCTATGGAAGACTAAGGACCTTCCACTCTTTCAAATAAATAACACACTAAAATAGAAAAAAAAATCTTACTTGACCATCCTCGACGACTATTAGTTGCAATTCCAGCCATTCCACGAATCCCCTTGCGAGTTTTTTTTTATTTTATGCTAACTTTTACGAGCTGGTATGTGTTCTGCTTTTTTCGCTAATCACTATCTGAAAGAAGAAAAACGAAAATGTCAGGATGGCCGTCCTCGCTTTTTTGCCAAACCATAAATTCGCATATAGCGCTTCCAAAGCCAATTGAATACATTTTGAAAATCTACTAGAAATTTCTTCCTATTAGAAATTGTTATCAAAAATATACAATCATATGCATACTTTAAGAAATAAAATCTGGGAGAGCTGCGCTTATTATTGAAGTCGTTTTAAGCTGTATTCAATTGACTTTGAGAAGACTATGTATAGGTACCGTCGAAAATTGTGCTAATTATCACTGGGATGTAAATAATTATACGATAGCGTACTCGTAATACGTCAAGAGTTGATTTCTGTTTACATAATATTTTTTATTAAACAGCTTTAACTCTTGTAAATTCCGAATGTCGTTGGTATTCCGCGAAAATTCCACGCCTTTTACGAACAAACGAGATGCTGGATGTTTGTTTCGCGTTAATTTTTTAATTTCAACGCGAAAATATCGCCTGTTCATGTTGCTGCAGGCGATAACGATAAATATTATGTTTAATTGTTGGAATAACAATCGGTTTGAATAATTATAGGTTTTATTTGTGGAATTTTGATTTGTTTTTCGAATTTAAATTCTCTCGCTTATCCAATTTTGTTTGTACGGCAAGGATATCGCTGTTGATTTTAGTCCAGACTTCTGTAATAATGACAGAGAATGCCAATTAAATTTCTCTGAAATTTAGCAATTTGTTCGCAATTTTTGAAAGCACTTTCAGATTCCTATACCTACTCATTAGTTTTGCTGATACCGTTACTGTTAATGTGGCAATTTAATCAGAGACTTTCAAAAGTATAAGTTAAACTACTAATTATAAGTGGAATATATTCATGAAAAGAACTTGCTACTTGCTTTAGTAATTTATCATAAACACTTTAATGTAATTTATTAACAAAAAGGGTAGGAATAAACGGTGCAACGACCATAACACCTTCTGGTAAAATGATCCTCAACTTCACCAGAAATTTTGGATTGGTTGAATTAATATTGGGTGAAAAATAAGTGCATTTTTGTGTGCAAAAGTGCTCGTTTCATTCACAAATTTACGAAATATAAATGATTTCAAAATGTTTATTTATATTTTAAACTGGTACATTTACTAAATTTGGTGTCATTTTTTATCTAACATTCATGTTATCATCTTCAATTTACTTCCTAATGTTTTGAACGTATTTAATCGAATATCGCAACTTAAGTATGTACAAATTAGGTAGGTAATTTACAAATATGTATTTTATCAATATCAATTAAGGCCAGGGCAGACGGAAAGCAATAAGTCTTTATTTTAGGAAATAAAAATAAATGCAGTCTCTGGTGTATATGCAAAATAATAAATTATTTTTGATTAAACTACCATAAATTAGCAATTACAGTTGAATCAAAATGAAAAGAACTATTAGGAAAATCGATTGTATTTTCTTAGACGTGTTCATTATTCAGTTTGAGCCGCTCCCACAATTGATTTGTACCTCAATAGTCAACAAAAAGAACCGTATTTGCTGCAAATACCTTGATGTAATTTTTATTTGCTTTACCCCACCTAAAGATAATAGTCCAAACAAACTCTATACAGTTACACGATGAAATTAATGCGAGGAAATTAATGACTTTAAGGCTTTAGAAACCCCAATCATCCAAATACCAGACCATTTAATGTAAAGTTTTGTTGGTTAAAGAGGAAGCTAATAAAGATGTAAATTACTCGCGATTAAGAGATTGGATTAATAAATAGCCAGGCAGTTTTTTCTGGACAAGAGTAGTTGAAATGGCTAAATGAAAAGAATAATGACTGGCAGGTAAAAAGATGAAGGATGAGAATGAGAAAAAAAAGGAATTTGTAACAACGGTTAACGGTCCTATTTCGATCAAATAATAAGCGGTAATAATAGGTAAAAGGGCAAGGATTATATTCAATTCAAATTTAATATACAAAGGGTAGAGAAAACGAGTTAGTAATTGCATGGTATCATTTTACAAATATTTTTATGCCCCTTTCAAATGAAGCACCCTGTATATAAATCCGATTTTTATCGCACGTCACATTTGAGCACCTTTGAAAAAACAAGCCATAAAGTAGTTCCCACACATTAATTGCGCTGAATAAAATTAAATAAATAAATAAACAACTGTCCAGCCAAAACAAATAAAATCAAAATTTAAAGTGGGCCATTTTGTAGCGCATTAGATATGATAATCCGAATCATTAATACCCAAATAGATACAGTTATTTAAATAGAATCGAAATTTGCCAACGCAATGAATTTTTACTGCAATATATGATATGTTAATTAGATATGTAAGGCACTCGCGGTGAATTTGAATTTTTTCTATCATTTATTGGAGGTTTTCGCGAACGTTCGAACATGGAAAAAAAATAATTTCCTTCCGTCGAGGATACCCGAGCCGCCGAAAAATATATTTTTAACTTTTACGTAGAGAAAAAAATTCGCAGGGCAAATATGTAAATTACCCACGCAAATAGAAGACCCGCTAAGTTAATATTTGTACAACCAATGCGAAATCGTTAATTTATCTACACCGGAAAACACGTGGTGTGTTACGGCAGAAAAAAAACCAAAAAATTTTTATCTACGAAAAATTATTCTCTTACCTTGGTCGATGATTTTCCGACGCGCAACTCAACCGAAAATCACGAAACTATTTTTTTGAAATGATTTTTTTATTAATATTTTCTGCTGGAGACTGAAACTAATATTAGCGAGGAACGTTGCGGCTCACCTACTATTTAACGTCCAACTGAAATAAAACTGAACGAGCTGAAATTTTTAAAATTATACGCGGTTAAATCGCATGGTTGTCAGCTCGCTCGAAAATCGTACAAACAGAAAACGCGCACGTTCGAATTCCTTCGATAACAATAATAAATTAATAAATCCTCTTAATAACATGCAACCAAAAATAATTTAATCTAATAAATTGCACCGCTTTAACTGTACATTCCTACAGTTATTACAACAAACAAAACTAATATTATTATATTGAATCTCCCGCAAGATCGACCGCTTTACCGTCGAGGTCCATACGAGTAATAATTATTTAAGGTAAACAACTCAGTAAACTTTTCAATAAATTAAATTCTCAGCAAGTAACAAGGAGTAGAATTTCCCGACCTTTTGTTAGTGCGCGTTTTATTGTACAGTTAACATTAATCTCAATAAATCACAATCAATATATCTAATCGGTAAAAATTCAATTTTTAATGAGCGAACAAGGACGTGGATTAGCGAGTCGCAAATTGTTAGTAAATGAGTTAGGTTAATCGGATGTTAAGTTAACTGTACATACAAATTACACTTAGATAATTTAGTACATATAGTAAATCATCTTATCATGTATAGTAGGTTTAGTTATAGGGGTATAAACTTACAATTACATGTGCAACTTTTATTAAAATGATCATTTAATTACATGCATTAACAGTATGAATATGAATGAAAAAATTTTAATCCCACAATATCGCACTCTGTTTCTTTTTATTTTAAATGAGACATGGAAGTTTTGCATGTCCTTAATGCACTCATAGACCATATAGTGTACAAATTTGCACTTATCTGTATATCTTCTTCTTTGCATAGTTTTAAATTTTTATACCAAAATTCAATCTACCTCGCTCAGAGCCTCAGGCTCAGGTAATTCAGTTCCTTTAGACCTTCACAGTGGGTAACAATATGTTATAGACCTCAGGTATTCTTTTTAATTGAGATATAGAAGCTTATTGTGAAAAGGAACTGGATTCTTTGGATTTTTCGCCATCATAAATTGTAAAAGAACTGTCGAGGCTAATACTTGGCAATATTGCAAGCGGCGTCGGTACCGGTTAAAAGTAAAAACAATGTGTTTCCCTCACTACTCGCTACACGACGGACGCAAATAACTTCGAAACTCCACACTTCGCATAAAATTGTTCATCCACTATCGCTGTTCTAATGATTGTGTAATATTATCTATTCCAGAATATTGTGATAATAGCAATCAGGAAATCAATATTCCATTGAAAAAATGATGATAAAAATATTTAATAATCATATAGTAGGTGTTTGAAAGAGTGGTTTTTTGAAAAATATTGTTTTTGGTATAGCTGGCCTTGTAGAAAATATTCTTTGGTGTATTAATAAATACAATTCTAAAAAAATATTCTCTACGTGAATAGAATTCAGTAAAACATATGGATGAGAAATATTTGATTCCAAATAATTAATAAACGTAGAAATATTAAATGCAGTAAATGTGCATATAATGAATTAAACAATAATTTAGCAGATACGGAGAGATTTTAAAAACTTACCCTTTTATACAATATTTTCACTATATTTACTAATGATTAGAGTATTTCTGAATTGACCTATTTTATAAAAAAATTAATTTGTGCGTATATCTTTCTCAAGCTCGATGAATAAATAAAACTTGCTCAAAAATATCGTGTATAAGTTTTCAAATTCAAATTTAAATTATGACGTTTCAGTTTCATACATAACCTAATAGACCTATTCAGTTTATGAAAGAGAGTGATGGAGTTATATGATCAACATAAGTGAACAAGAGAAGCAAATACTTTTCACGCGCAATGTGTGGAACCATTTAAAATCTGCGCAAACATGAGTGGAAGAGAGATAGCTATTTTGGCCTTTTTCATTGCCGATTGACAGACACATTGAATGATTCTTAGATGAAAACTGTTTAAAATATAAAAAAGAAGAGACCATTATCAATCTTAACATTCTTAACCCTATTTTGTTTCCGTTTGATGTTTGTTTATGTTCAGTGTGTATTATTTTTAACAGTATTTCTTTGTATTATTTAGTATATTTATTTATAAAGGTAATAATTTTTTGTATAGGTCAATGGGATTATTTTTTTGAAATATATATTATAGCAAACCGATCAAAAAGCATTTTCGGAAACTTTGTACTAACCCTCTTACTCTTTCTTAGACTTGACTTGTACGTAAATATTAAGCCTATAACCCCTTTCTGGGCAGTAAAAACAAATTTGTATCGAGTCACCGCGTCCATTAAATCCGACGGATTGTTGGATAATGACAAATGACGTCTTAAGTTGTCGTTGTCTGGTTGTCAGAACCGTATTTTACCTGAGGTGCGTTCGTTTGTTCGTTTAGATGTCCAGCTAATTGTCCACAATATGCGCGCGCAGCACAGGTTAAACTGAATAGGTCTATTTATTTATCTAATGATGTTCGCTAAAAATCGTCCAAACGACGTATGTCATGTCAAATGTCACGTCAATTATGTCATTGAACTGTCTTCTGTCAAACGTTTGTCAAGTACTTATGCTGTGCAGTGTTGAGTTTGTACGGATTATTTAAATTTAATAATGTTTTTTGCTTATTCCATGTTCAAATCCCGAACGTTTTTATGATATTTTTATTTAGGTTTTTATTTAATGTTAGTTTTGAGCGCACCTGACATGTAAGTAAAAATATAAACAGGCTAAATACCTGCTTCTGTTTGCATATTAACATGGCCGACTGTATATGTATAAGTGGAACTGTACATTCAATTGAAATATCTGATCTTTTCTGATGGTCACGGAATTTTAGGATGTCCGAATCAGGTGACGTCCAAATAACCAGCAACCTCGCAGAAAGGGACAAACCCCCTAGCAGAGTGGTGCTCTCCGAGCATGAGTTAAGTTCCTTCAGCACACAAGAATGGCAGAACTGCTGGAAGCAGCAAGATTCGTTTATCGCCCTCCTTGAGAGGAAAACCAATTCACAAGAAGGTACTTAACTTCAGTTATTAATGAGTTAAAAAAGTGTTTTTGCAGTTTAACGGGGCTGTATCTTAATGGTGCAGTGCAGTGAGGTGTTACTAAAGTAAAGCTGTGTAGTGAGGCGGTAGTTTTAACGTGTGCTCATTGCAGGGGAACTGGCCGAGCTCCGCCAATTAACCGAGAGGACCAAAGGGCAGCTCTTTGAATCTCAACAAAGGGAGAAAACGTTGGTCCGCAGGCTAGCGGCTAAAGAACAGGAGACTCAAGACTATGTGGTTAGTACAGTATCGATTCACTCTTAAACATGTGCAGTGAGTGCTTTCGTTTACGGTACTTACAAAACTGCTTCAGATGAGACCTTTGACACTAAAATCTCGAAGTGTACTTTGCAACAAATAATCGACTCGAGTGTTACTTTAGTGGTTGCCTTCAATTCAGTACAGTCGATAACAATTAAAAAAAGTGTCTTGGTCCAAAAGAATTGTATTGTTGATTGAATAAAAGCACTTGGTAATATAGGTACATGTGTTGTAGTGTTATTTTAATTATTGTGTAATATATCTAGACTATATACAAGTCTCATTAAGATGAGTTTATTAAAAGACTTATAACACGAAAACGTTGAATTTGTTTACAATAAACTCTGTGCTGTTGTGAGTGGCTTGATATTGATTTAATTACCTACTAAAAATTAAAAACGACATGTTAAAACCTATTTTTTTGTAAACATTTTCATTGTATTTCCCAAGGAAAGTCTTACAAAGGTTACTCATAAAGCATCATGTATTTTTATGTATTTTTCAGTATGTATTAAATATCTATGTGACTTGTTTAGATTTGTAACGGGACTATATAATATATACACCATTAGATTGAATTCAAAATTAAATTATAATCTGTTATTTTATGTGATTTGACATTATGTAATTTTTATATTATCAATGCCAAAAAAGTTGATGAAAATTATTTTATTGGCTAAATCATTACTGCCTTATAATTCATCACATTATTTTGTCGAGATGTTAGTATGTGATTTATAAAAATAACTTTGTAGGTAAACAAGATAAACTATACAAATGTTAAAATGTACAATTTGAGCTAAGATATGTGTATACTGCAATCCAAACTTTCCGTTCATTAAAAATATCGATTGAAAGAAGAGGATTGTTGAATTCAAACAATTTTCCTCATTCATAACAAATACATAACCCTTGCAAACGTGATTTAATTATATTGAACTTTTAAATGCCATTTATGCGTTATGAATGAGTAAATTGTTTGGAATGAATATCAAATTAAAGAAAATCATTTGGGCTCCAAAAAAACCGAAATGGGACTTCTTTCAACAAAAGTATGGATAATTTAAGTGTTATTTCCCGATGTATTATGTGCTCTCAATATACTTCCCATAAATTCTCACCACATATTCTCCTACTACATACAGAGTGATCCAAAAGTATGACAAGTTGCGGGATTTTAAATATGCTTTAATTAAATTTATTTAAATGCCTTAATTATAAGTCATGAGCGCTAATTCAATCTCTTTTATGATCAATACTATCAGATTATGTTTCCTTTGGTTTATTATTCACCTCATCAACATATTTTCTCCTCTCCCTAAATTAATCCAATTTCTTACTCAATCAGTTATCTGCTAATAAGCAGTCTATTTTTAACTCAATTGGTACATTTTGACATAAGAGGTCTTCAACTTATTTTATCCGTTACAGAACCTATTTGTAAAGTAAATGTAACTAAAAATTATTTCTAATACTGTTTGTATTCTATTGTTTTATAAAAGAATGTGATGTCCTAGGTAACAAACCTTTATACATATGAATTGGGGTCGAACTTATTCGTGCTGTTAACAATTAACTGGTCACATGTAAGTAGCATAAAATGACTTGTAATTATTACCGGGTTTTTAATTGTTTGCATAATCAAAATGCATATTATCATTTGCATAAAAACGAGACAATTGTTTTAGTATTTTCCAAGAAGTGGTGCTTTATATTTGCTTTTATATCAATCTTTGGGGTTAAAAAACCGTCTGCACCATTCACTGCATTGAGATTATACTATCTAAATACAAAGATTGTCGTGGAATTTCATTGATATTATTTATTTAAATGTGAAATTTTTCAGATAATTTATTTAATTGGTTTTTTCCTATTGATCGCATAAAGTTGCTTTTATAAACTGTTATATTTGTAAATTTAGGAAGATATATTACACAATATTTAAAAAAAATATTGAATAATAAAGAATGTCCTTAAATTTTATATTATCCACGAATCTAAGGATATTCATTGTGTTCTTTAGCCTCTTATTTGCAATCATTGGTTTACTACTGCTTTGGATTTTAACACGTACATAATCAATTAATTCTAAAGCAAACATTAATTAATTGTATCTTATTATGTGATTTTATATATTACGTTTATTTTTGGTAGTTGTAGTATTTTTTCTAGTAGATTTTTTTTGTTCGAAACTTACTCTTTCTGCTTTGTTTATATAGGTACTTGTATTTACTAGCACTTTAGGCTTTGTTAAAGATTTTCTTTACTAAGTTCTCCAATGATTTTGTTTAATGATTCTTTATCGATTTCAGAGAGTATTTTTATTTCTATTTTTTATTAAACAACCGAATAATTTAAAGCTTTTAATATTAATGTTTCTGTTGTTTATGCTTCATTCAAGGCATAATCTCTAATATTGTTTCATATTAATTTAGATACCGTTTTTTATCTATTACACTTTTGAAATAGTACAAATTCCAAATCAACAATATTAATTAAATGAATAAATTTTACGCTCAAACTAATTCAACGAAAAAATTTCTAAATGGAATAGTGTAACAAATTTCGTGAAATAATGAATATAGGCGAATAATCGAGAGAATTTTCGGCTGTTGCGTTTTTTCAGTACATGGCCAAATGACACAACAATTTTGTTATAGTCATTTGAATAACTAATTCGTATGATTGGTACTCACCTCACTATTTGCGACATGAGCGTTGTTTACGATGTTAAAGTACTGTAATTAAACGGCTAAACGTCGCAATGAATTAATGATTAATCAATTACTATACAATACAAGAGCGTAGAATTTCCAGTCTGATGCAATAAAATTGTAGAAATAGAATGGATACAATTTTTTATATTTATGATACACATATTTGCATTTAATAAATATGCTAAAAGTTTGAATTAATTTATAGAAATTGTTTCTTATAACTCGGAAACTATTAAACCGATTGACTAACAATTCTGAAGAAATAATGCATGGGGTTTTTCATTAATTTAGGTTGGTTAATAATTTTTTTTCTGTTTATATTACTATTTTTATTATTTCTTAAGGGTTTTAAGGGTACTGTTTCATTTAGGTGTATTTATAGTTGGATTTTAAATTAAAATCTTTCAATTTCTGAGTTAAAAGCGGCTTTTGGTTGCATTGTTGAGCAATTTTTAACAATTTTTTGATTATTCTGTAAAATATTTTGCTTAAGATATCTATTGTTTAGGTACGTTTTTGGGTTAAGGCTGGATGGTAGAAGGTTTTTTTACAAGGCTTCATTTTTGGAAATCGTTAGATAATTTAGCCTTTTCCAAAATATTTAAAACGAATCAAATGTTAACCTAAATCGACAATTCTGTAACGATTTTGTACTGTTCTGAACTTGTGTATATTTAGGCAATGTCAATTTAATGTTAGATACAGATCAGTTCAGAACGGTTCTGTATTTTTGACGGAATAAACCTACTCTAAAGATGAAAGAAGGTATCCAAAGCAGTCGTAAACCAATGTAATTCCGCCCGTCCAACTCCACTAATTCAACGTATTTCTTTTTATCCAGTGTCAATTGAACGAACTGAAAAGTTCACAAGTGCCCACGACATCGACATTACGGACAGTTCTGTTAGATCCGGCGGTGAACAGCATCCTCCAGCACCTGCAGTCCGAGCTGCAGGCCACCCATTTGAAATTAGAAGACACCCAGAACGAGCTGTCGGCGTGGAAGTTCACCCCCGACTCGAACACCGGCAAGCGGCTGATGGCGAAATGCCGGCTGCTCTACCAGGAGAACGAGGAGCTGGGCAAGATCACCAGTTCCGGTCGAATAGCGAAGCTCGAGAGCGACCTGGCGCTGCAGAAGAGCTTCTCCGAGGAGGTCAGGCAGAGCCAAAACGAACTGGACTCGTTCCTGGCGGACCTGGACGAGGACGTCGAAGGCATGCAAAGCACCATTTTGTTTTTGCAGCAGGAACTGAAAAAGGCTAAAGACACTATTCAAGCGTTGCAAAAAGAAAATTGTGCTTTGAAGACTAGTAACGGTCGAGCGAACGGTGACACTAGTGTATGTGAACGAGAACAGACCGATTCGGAAAACGAAATAGAGAGGACACGTGGTGTAAAACGGATTAGGAGATCGTCGGTACTGAGCATCGACTACAATGAAGATGACACTCTTGTTCTTAATACGAATGGTGATGTCACTGAATAATGTCCGATCAGTTTAGTTCTATGCGCACCGCACGTACTTTTTATTTTGGTACAAATTCAACGCTTCGAATTGTTTCAATGAAACCAATAAATCATTATAATGTCCTAGAGTGTATGGTCAATCGCCCAGATTCGGATAGAACTCAAAAATAACTTTTTTTTTTTACTTAAGGTCTCTTTCATCGGAGATACAGATTCTTTTAACATTTAATTCTACATTTGTTATGCTTTACCTGAACTTGGTAGACTGACCACATTTTCTGGGACACCCTATATAAGGCCGGTCTTGAGCATGTAAGAAATTTAGGTTGTTATAAGACCTGTAAACGATTAAAACGTACATTTCTGACACGTTTTTGATGTATGCAAATTTATCAAAATAAAACTACTTGTGTTATAACATCCTACTATTTTTACATGACTTTTAACGTACCATTTATGACCTAAAATCAGCCATAAAGGCTTTAAATTATCATAACCACATTTTGTAAAAACCATTGATATTATTTTGTATAAAACGCATTAATTTTATAATAATTTGTATAGTATATTTATTGAATTTAAATACCTATATCCTGTAAAAGTTGAATAATCGAAAGAGCTCGAACGACATTCAATTCGAGAATTAGTATCGTGCGCGTGTATAGAAACTAAATGAACTTACTCGCATCGACATTTCATTTATAGAAGTGTACTATAGAAGTAATTTTTATAGAAAAATCGAGGATAATTTGTTTGAGAATATAAACGAGTCCAATTTTCATTTACAAATTACGCTAACACGTTTTTCTTCATATTTGTTGTAAATGGTAATTACGCATCTCCAATGTTTATCAAAGGCCAGTGATTGGACGAAGCAAGGCGTTATTGAAATGAATATTTTTTTATTAGGTCATTCGAAAAGTTTGTTACTTTGCTTTGTTTAATTTCTACTTTGAAATTTGACATAATGTAAATTTAGGATTTTTTAAGTTGTTGATCATAACGATTATAAAATAACAATTTTATCGAACATTCATTTTATTTTGTCCCATTATGAATAATTTATTGGAGTTTTGCTTTTAGTCTATTGAGAAATGTTTAATTTTATCTTTGAAGAACAATTTGGAGTGAGCTACTAGTAAGAGGAGTCAAGCTCGGGCTCAATATTCTTTCCCAATACTTTGCTCAGGTACACAATAATTCAAATAATCGATACATTACACCTAAATATATTTGTATTATTTTAAAAAATGTATTAAGCATCAATCTCTCCTAAAAATAGTTGTTTATCACTGGAACCGGATAAAACGACAGGCTCGTTTGGATGAAATTTAACGTCGTTAACGCTTCCATTGTGACCTGGCAATTTATAAATTATTCTCCTTGTATTGGTGTCCCAAATATAAACAAACCGATCTGCCGAACCACACGTTATCTTGTTACCATCCGGTGACCAAGCACATCTGAAAATAACAAATTTAGGCAACGAATAAAATGGAAAAAAGTTCGATTTACCTCAATAAATTCTTTTCGAAATTATGTTGATGTCCGCTGAAAACTTTGATGCACCTATCTGCCGGGGCGTATGGTCTCACGTCCCATATTCTTAAGGAATTATCCATGGAATTGCTGAGGAGATATGATCCATCTTTGCTCAACGAGAGGCCGGTTATACTATCCGCATGTCCTTTTAGAGCGTAGAGAAGCTCTTTTGTACGCACATCCCACACCTATAACAAATTTAGATAGTTACTGCCATCTTAAATGTAGGAGTTTTTGATATTCTAAACCATGAAAACCAATTTACCTTGATATCATTGTCGATTCCACCGCTAAATAATTGCTCGGCGGTATCATTAAAAGAAACCGCAGTAGTTTGGTAAGCAGTATTAATACTGAACACGCTCTTTTTGTTTCTAGTATCCCAAACTTTAACGGTACTGTCGTCTCCGCCGGAGCACATGAGCTGTGGCCCTCGTCTAGCCCCTTGTACGCAGTTTACGAACGTTGTGTGACCTTTGTACTTCTTAATCCTTTGGCCCGTTACGATGTCCCAAAGCCCTAGAGTGTGGTCAGTGCTGGAAGTGAATATATTCGAACCGTCCGTGGTGAAATGCATTTCTGTTACGGCGCCTGTGTGGCCCGATAGTACCGATATATTTTCGCATTCTCCGTAGACGCTCCAAAGAACTAAAACGAGAGTGAATGTTAACTAGGATAGGATTAGTATAGTTGGACTTACATATTCTTCTATCGAAACCAGTTGAGGCTAAATATTGCCCTTCAGGGTGGAAATCAACGCTAAAGATCTCACCGTCGTGACCATCTAACTGCATGATGGGCGCGAATAAGTTAGAAGTCCTAGCCGGTGCCTTGAAATGCAATATTGTTTAGAATATATCGAAAATTTTATGGGAAAACTTACGGCTTGAAGAACTGATGTATTCTTATTTTTGGTGGCCACTTCATGCCGCTGCTTTTTATTTACCGGTACTAGGGCACTATCTTCTGCTCGACGTTTATTTTCGACGCCCATTTTCCGTTCTTTATAAATATTTTCACACAATGTTTGTGTATTGTTTTTATTTGGTTAGAAAAATCTTCTTTTTCTTTACGATTTAAAAGAAGAATGAGTGGTATGAAGTTAGTGCTGGAACAACTTGTGCGTGGCATTTTGGGGAAAAAAGGGTTTATGTATAGTATAATCAATAAATGAGGGTTGCATCGGTTATTACTTATTGCGATTATATTCTCTGGTTTTATTAAACCTAGCAACAAATAATTAAAAGTGGCTGTAGAAGGTGATAGTATCAGTGCTGTTTAAAAAATAGAATTTACTTATATGTCAAAAACGTCAATTCAACTCTTTTGACACTGACACATGTGTCTTTTGAATAAGAAGGTTAAGTGGATTGTGGTCAAATTTTGAAATTTAGAAAAATGTCGAAAAAGCGAGGTAATAAGAAAAATCTAGACGACGATTTTGAAGAAACCAACAGTATTACTAGTGAAAAGGAAAAGCCGGCTCCTAAATCTAAAAGTAAGGCCGGTAAGAAAGGGAAGAAAGGCAAAGATGGTTGGAGTGATGACGAGGATCTTGACCAAGGTTAATATTGCAGATAATATAAAGATTGTTGCTTTATTTTAATATTTTTTAGGTAAAGAAATCGTCGATAAATCAGAACCGATCGAATCTAAGCCTGCTTCAAAAAAGAAAGCCAAGAAAGGTAATTTTTATTCGATTTTCAATTCCTCCCCAATAATCATTCATTCTCGTATCATTTTACACTTACAACCTGCACGTTACTGAACTTACTTGATTACTATTGATCTCACATATTCTAAATAACTTGTTCAGCCAATAACCTACAGGTTATAACATCATTATGAAACAACATATGGTCAATTACCCGTAATATTGAATTGCGCATAAATATTTAACTTTTCCTTTTATATCCAGGAAAGGCCAATAAAAACGACGATTGGTCCGATAAAGAAGAAGACATCAAACTTTCTGATGAAGAAACAAAGCCTGCATTTATAGCAGCTAAAAAGTCTGCCAAGAAGAATAAGAAAAAGAAAGGCGATTGGTCAGACGATGAAGACATTGAAGTTAAGCTATCGGAGAGCGAAGATGAGAATGTACCACAAATAGTAAAAAAATCGTTAAAGAAGAATAAAAAGAAGAAAGAAGTGGATATAGATGATGAGTTAGATGTTGATTCTGAAATTAGTGAATCTGCAAAGGATAAGAGTAATGATAAGGTAAATATTAGTAATTTGCCCTTTAGGATCGCTGTAATTAGTATTATTTTTTTAGAATGATGTCGATAATGAATCTCAGGATGAAGGAAGCCTTAAATCCGTGGAAGAGTTACCGTTACCCACAAAATCCAAAAAGAAAAGTAAAACCCAAAACTTGAAATCCGAACCATCTGCCCCAGATGATAACGTAGAAGAAATATCGGATAAACCAATCGAAAATGGTACAAGTAGTAAAGCTGATGAAACAGTAGCAAAAGAAACACCAGCCAAGGAAATAGAGGAAATAACCGAAAAGCTCAGCTCGACCGATATCGGCGATCAATCGGAATCGAAAGAAAAAAAATTAACTCACAAAGAGAAGAAAAAGATGAAGAAAATGCAGCAATACGAACAGCAAATGGAGACGATGCTGAAGAAGGGCGGACAAGGCCATTCCGAATTAGACAGCAACTTTACCGTAACGCAGGCGCAGAAAACCGCTGGGCAATTGGCTGCGTTCGAAAATGCAGTCGATATAAAAGTCGAGAATTTCAGTATAGCCGCTAAAGGAAACGATTTGTTCATTAACGCGAATTTATTAATTGCTCAAGGCAGACATTACGGCTTAGTCGGCCCCAACGGGTAAGTCATCAATTTCTTCTTACACTGTTCAAGACTACTCATTTTTAATTCTTATTTTAGACACGGAAAGACTACATTGCTGCGACACATAGCCCAAAGAGCCTTCGAGATCCCTCCCAACATCGACATACTCTACTGCGAACAAGAAGTAGTAGCGGATGACAACACTGCAGTCGAAACCGTCCTAGCTGCCGACGTTAAAAGGAACAATTTACTCAAAGAATGCAAAGAATTGGAGGCTGCTTTCAACGGCGGCAACTTGGAAGTTCAAGAAAAATTAAACGATGTTTACGCGGAATTGAAAGCCATCGGGGCCGATTCCGCCGAGCCCAGAGCGAGGAGAATTTTAGCCGGTTTGGGATTTGACCGAGAAATGCAGGTTTGTAACCCACGAATTAAGCGAACTGTTGTTACATGTACGCATTTTAACTAGGATCGTGCTACGAAAAACTTCTCCGGTGGCTGGCGTATGAGAGTCTCCCTGGCCAGGGCGCTTTACATCGAACCAACGTTGTTATTGCTCGATGAACCTACTAATCATTTAGATTTGAACGCGGTTATTTGGCTCGACAAGTAAGCTTATTCCAAAACATTTCACTGAATTATTTACCGATCGATAATCTTTTGTAGTTACTTACAAGGATGGAAAAAGACCCTTCTCATTGTTTCTCACGATCAATCTTTCTTGGACAACGTGTGCAATGAAATCATTCACTTGGATCAGAAAAAGTTGTACTATTACAAAGGGAACTATTCGATGTTTAAGAAAATGCATGTGCAAAAGAGGAAAGAAATGATCAAGGAGTACGAGAAACAGGAAAAGCGGTTAAAAGAGTTGAAGTCTTCCGGATCTTCCAAGAAACAAGCTGTAAGTTAATCATTTATATGTATACAATAAGAGTGGTTTTAATCAAATTGGGATTTATAGGAGAAAAAGCAGAAAGAAGCTTTGACCAGGAAACAGGAGAAAAATAGAACGAAAATCCAGAAACAAGACGAGGAAATTACTCCTACAGAGTTACTTCAGAAACCTAAAGAATATTTAGTGAAATTCAGCTTCCCGGAACCTCCACCTCTTCAACCGCCTGTTTTAGGAATACATAGTAAGATTGCCACTTGCAACTAATTATGATAAGTAAACTATACGCTGCTTATTTTAGATGTTACTTTCGGATGGCCCGGACAGAAACCTCTCTTCGTAAACACGGATTTCGGTATCGACATGAGCAGTAGAGTGGCAATTGTCGGACCGAATGGTGTAGGAAAATCCACATTTTTGAAATTGTTAACAGGAGATTTGACGCCAGCTGTAGGAGAAAATAGAAGGAATCACAGATTGGTAAAGCGATATTATAGTCATTTGTACTGAAGTTTATTACTTGTTTACTCCTTTAGCGTATTGGAAGATTCGACCAGCACTCCGGAGAACATCTAACCGCTGAAGAAACTCCTTCAGAATACCTCATGCGGTTGTTTGATCTACCCTATGAGAAGGCGAGGAAGCAATTAGGAACGTTTGGATTGGCTAGTCATGCACATACTATTCGTATGAAGGATCTTTCCGGTGGACAGAAAGCTCGTGTAGCCTTAGCTGAACTTTGTTTGAATGCTCCCGATGTACTAATTTTGGTACGTTCGTTTTTTCATTTTTACACTCGTTTTTAATTACTTTTTACCTCGTAGGATGAACCTACTAATAATTTAGACATAGAATCAATCGATGCTCTGGCAGAAGCCATTAACGAATACACTGGTGGCGTAATAATTGTTTCCCACGACGAACGATTAATAAGGTAAATAATTCATATCGAGAACTATCGCGAACATTATTAAATGCCTTTCTAAGGGATTGAATGAAATATTGATTATTAATAAACCAATTTCAGAGACACCAGCTGTGCCCTCTACATAATTGAAGACAGAACAATCAACGAATTGGATGGAGACTTTGATGATTACAGGAAAGAACTGCTGGAAAGCTTAGGAGAAGTAATTAACAGTCCCAGTATAGCGGCCAATGCAGCAATTGCTTAGGTGAATTGTTACTGTTGCAATAAATTTAAATTGTTAAAAGTGAAATTGTTGATATTCTAGCTAATTTCTAAAAATACAATATTTTTCAATCGCAATTCAAAGTGAAATTATCATACATTTGATGGCCTTATACATGATTAATAAATTTTTTTATTTATTATTTAACGAATCGTATGTACAACTTTCATTTTAAAAATAAAATCGTTTACCTACCTACGCATTTCTTAATAATGGGAACTCTGCGAATAGCGAAAATAGAATTGTTTATTCCTTTCATTAAATTAAATTAGTTTAAATTTATTTACAAAAGAAACGTTACGTTTGAATCGAAGAAACACGTACTTAGCGATTTGGCTTCTAGAATAAATTTCTACACACCGGACACGAACTCTTGTAGCTCGTCCTAAACCATTTGTACTAAAAACAAATATGTATAAAAATAAAATCTTCGCAACAAGCACAATTCTCTTACCAAGCAAGCCGAATGGAACTTTTTCTTGCACGTCTGACAGGACAACTTCGGCAACTGGTAGGTTCCCGGGTGCAAAACGGCGAAACAGATGTAACATTCCTCCACCCCGTCGAATTTCTTGTCCAAATTATTGTTCCACAGGGACAACCCGTCCCAGATCCGGCCGTTCTGGTGGACCACGCATTTCTTAAATTGCAACAACCATTGCTTGAGGCTGGCGCCGGCGATCTGCTTGTCGCAACGGACAAACACGCAACCTAATGGATAGTTCGGCGGCAGAGTTATTATAAGTTCCACCTGCGCCTCGTCCACCGTGTAAATGGCGATTATTTCCCTCGCTCCGGGCAACACGTTCAGCTGAAATAGCGAAATTCACTGTTATTATAACTATAGCACATTTATTCTGGATGGTTCTGATAAGTTCAATTCGATTTGAGAAAGGAGCCAAGAACCATGTTAGTATTCGTGGTATGGGGTGAATTTTACAATGTGGAGTTTTTCGATCAACTCGTATGAACAGTAGGGAATATCTGGATGTACTGGAGAATCGCTTTTTACCATTTTTAGACAAACATAAAAACTTTCAGTGAATTTTCCAGCAAGATAATGCCAGCAACAATGTTGATCGCGAATCTCTAGCATGGTTTCAGGGCCTGATTTATTAGAATGGCCAGTTAATTTGTTTACTTTGTTAACTTACCACCATGTTTTTGAATTTGCTTTGGCAGGCCAACAACTCGTTCAATTCCTGTGTAACCAAGTGCGTCGATACGTAGCATTGGGTCACCTTTTCGACGATTTGGGACAATTTACCATCCAAACTCGTCCACCAGTGCCTCACAACAGCCGGTAATTGCGCTAGAGTCGACGAATATATCCAACAAACCAGATTTTCAATCTTCTCGCTATCGCACGTATCTAAAAAAACTCTCCTTAAATACACTTATTCGACGATTACTGGTGCAAAAATAACCTGTCACGGAAATGTCCGGTTTCCTCAAAAACGGCTCCATCAGGCTTTTGGATTTCCTTTCGCTGAATTGCAAAACCTCCGCCGGCATTAACCTGAAGAGGTTGTTCAAAAGATTTTCCAACAAATCCTCGTTCCTGCAAAATTAATATTCTCTTGTAGAACGTAAAATATACGAGTTATTAATATTTACTTCAACCAATCGGCGTATTGAAATCTCAATTCCGTTGAGGATTTCTCGCACAGCGACAACAGAATATCCCACAACAGCAAATATGCAAAGGTATAAGTAAACGAGTCTGTCAGTGGCTCTACTCTGCAACTATCATCTCCCAATCTGCAAATATAATTAACAAATTAAACTTTAACTTGCGGAAAGTATATAAAAGACCTGGACATACTTAAATTCCATAAGCAAGCTGTTAACGATGTCCTGCGTTTCCACCAGCTTCTCCTTGAACTGTTCGAATATCAGGCCCATTTTGTGCGGATTGTTAGTGCTCACGGCCTCCGCGTCGATGTTCACCAGTCCGGGCACGAAGGCGAGCAACATTTTGTAGCCCCACAGCTGCAAACTGGGCTGGGAATTGGTCAAGAGCAAGCAGCTCTGCTTCAAGTACTTGGACCATTTGGGCAAACTCTCGCTGGCTTTGAACACTCGCTCGCAGTAAACGTGCGAAAATATCTTTGTGAATTCTTGTATCAATGGCAAGAAGGTCGTTATGTTTTGTTTCCGATTCAGCTGATCTGAAAGATATGTTTTGTATAGTGTGAGTAGTGTTGAAATTTATATAATTACCTGCTAAGTACAGCCAAATTTGCAAGAGGTCATTGTGAGTGCTTTCTACTAATATCTCCTCCCATTCGTCGATGTAACTGCACGGTATTTTCTGTTCTTTTAAGTGCCTCATTTGCGCGTCAGTGTTAACATAGAGGTTTACCACTGCGCACAGTAATGATTGATACTAAAAAATATTTAGTATTTATAAAGGGTCTTTTAAGAAATTGGGTATATCACGTACTTGGTAAGTATCAAACAAAACTTTAGCTTTTAGGCAATTAGAAGCCCAAGACACCAATGAAATAATCCCAAAGTCCCAATGCTTCTGGTTGAAACATTGAAATTTCGATTTCATCATGCACGAGCACAATCGGATGATTTCGACGATTACCTGGCAATCCTGCCAGCTGATGAGGCTTCTGGAAACGTTGTAATAAAATAAAATTGCTACCCAGCTCATTTGCATTGTGTACTTACGAGTTGTACAGGAATTTAGGAATATCGGCGATTCGTATATTCACCATTTTGGTAAAGACCTCGGCAATTTGCACGTCGATTTCCTCGCAACGAATTAAACTTCTCAATACGATAATATCGCCGACGGCGTCGAATTTGTTTTGTACGTTGTCGTATGTTAGATGGTCTTTGAATATTCTGGTCGCTTGTAAAGTAATTTCTACTTCGCTATCTGGGATGTTTCTAACAAAGTCCTCGTAAACTGAGCACAGATCTTGAGGTTGAATCTTGGAATAGTATAAATAAACCGCTTTGATCCAATACCATCCATTTTTCATTGACATATCATTCAAATAAATCGTTATGTTGGATTTTAGTATTTTATCGCACACTTTTAAGGCCTCTATTACTTTCATTTCGGTTAGTACGTTGTAATGCAATATTGCATCGTAATGTACCACCTAAAAAGCATAAAAATTTGCAAGATAAACCGAAAAAAATCAATCAACTTACATTATTAAACGTGGTTAAATACGTCTCTCCAACGCACAAATCGTGTAATATTTGAGAAGCATACACTTCGACCTGATTGATAACGGTTAAAATAAGTACTTGTCTTTCCATTTCATCGCCGCTATCATCATCATCATCATCTTCATCATCGATTGCATCGCCGAAAGAAGAACTTAACACTCCTATTTTTAAATAAATCCAAGCAAAGTATCGAGCCACATCGATATTCTCTACGTTAGTAGTAATAGGATCGATTTCTTTGTGCGGGCGAGGTAAATTACCATTCAGAAACTCCGTTAAAGTGCAAAGTTCTTCTATAAACCTACAAAAGAATGTTAATTAAAACTAATTCTACTAATTAAAGAAACCTGCTTACCCTTGTGAGGAATGAACCGCTTCGTTCCGCAGGAAAATTTCGAAAAACTCGCTCAAACCGAGTGGAACGCTTTTATAAACAGCTATCAACGCCATCACGATTATTTTAACGAAATGATTCAACTTCGATTCGCTCAAATCGCTTTTGGAGAACTCATCTTCGATTATCCCGGCCAGTTTGGAGCACAGACTCAAACTCTCTTCTTTGCTTAGGTTTTTAGTGAGCAAAGTGAGCGCGTCCTGCCAAGACGTCGTCACTTCATACATCGTCTCCTGCGAGACGATTTCGTTGTCGATCTCGGGATTGCAGGACAGCCTAAACAGCGCCAATAGCAAGGTGTCCTTGTACGTTAACAGCAAATTCTCCGTGTAGATAATAGCAGAGATGTAAGCGGCTTGACTGGTGCAAGTGTCAGCTGTTATTGTATGATCTGTGTAGTTCTCTATAGCTAGAGTCAATTTCGAAACTATGCTCAAAACCGCCTCCTTGTGGAGGAGGATCTCTGAAACAAATTGTTATAAGTCTATGAAAACTTCCTTGTAATGTAACTTACCTCCATTTTCATCTTCAACGAGTGATAGCTTAAATAGCACTCCTAATTCAGGCGGGCACCCGTCTACGATAATTAAATCAGTGATGGAGATGATGAATTTGCTGATCCTCTCCGATCTCAGCCATTCCTTAACCAGGGGATTCTTGTTGTGCGGGTGCGATAGAGCCTCGGAAATGCACCAGCTCAAACACTCGTCGGAAGGTACCTAAAGAAATATAGCAGACGAATTCAATTCGTGGATTTGAACTAGAATGTTGGTGTACTTACTTTCAAAAACGTATTTAATATCGCGCTTTTATCCTCGGTTTGCAGGAACTCAAACAACAGAAATATCAGACTAACAACGTGCTTGCAACACAACTCTTGAGTATTGAGCCAAGGTTGCAGAACGTTAGAGTATATATCGGCTAAAGTAGAGTCGGGGTTTTTCGATTTTAGCCTTTCAGACATTGCCAAAAAGAAACATTCGGTATCAAAGTTTATGACAAGAGAATACAAATGCTTAATTAGAATGTTCGACTTCTTTTCGGTGGTATATTGCACATAAAGTTCGGATACATTATAAGCAAAGATGTTTAGGCGATCTAGGTAGTTTTTATCGTTAATAACATTTCCAACTTCTGGTTTCTGCTTTGAGCTGCTCTCCGAATCGGTGCAAAATTTAACCTGCAAATAAAATAAAACTCAACATCAAGCAATTAAATTATTCCTGTTACCATACTTTGTATTGTTTTTTAGATTTGCTGATACATTTCAAGGATTGCATAAAGTCCAGTTGTTTCACAGCAAAACTTTCCACATCGAAACACGGAATTTCTTTAACATTGAACAAAGTGTCTCTAAATAAATCTAGTACATTCTCTAAAAAGAACTCCAAGCAAGCCTTCAAGCCGTCGGAATCCAAGTTTCTACTCCAATGTTGTATCAAAGACGCGATTTGATTGAACAAAGACTTGTAATTAGTCGAATCTTCTAAGAGACACCATTCTATCGAGGCCAAAAGGTGGGTTTTAATTAGAGTCTTGCAAAAGGGTAGATCAGATTGCTTTTTTAATATGATATATTGAAGGCACTCTACGAAAGCTGTCGCCACTGCAACCGATTCGCTTCGACTGGCAACCGTCGATTTCTGTTTGGATCTAAAATAATTCATTTAATGTAATAAATTGAAATCTTCTGTTGGGTACAAACTCACCCCAGCCATAGATTTTCGAAAAATAGACTGTAGAATTGTGGTACAGTTTCTTCAATAGTAGGAGGTAAATAGGAAATCAAAGGCAGTAAGCTGGGATAAATTACTGAAGCATTGCCTTGGCCACCTTGTTTCAATATTTTCCAAAGTTTGGGTAGAAATAGTTTTTCTATATTTATGTAGGTCCACCAATCCTTCAAAATAAATAAAGAAAACAAATAAATTAAGTCGAATTCGCTTTTGGTTGCATTTAAAATTATTCACCTTTATATTAGATACAGTTAGAAGAGCTGCTTCCCACACCTGTGGTAATACAACTGCATCGTGTTCTTCCAAGTTATTAAATACATTGTTAACCACGTTTGAACCCTTCTCTTCCAGAAGAAAGGGCGCTTTTTGGCATAAAACACTAATTATTTTAAAAAATGAAGCTCTCACTCGGGCAACTTTGCTTTTGGAAAACTTCCAAAATTTACCTAAAAAAATCATCAATTTCTAAACACGTTACAAAATCACAGATAAACTCACTGTTCGAAACGATGCTATTGTTTAAATCGATGGCGTTTTTTATTTGTTCGATGGACACTTTCTCCAGGTACAAGCAGTACCCCTGAAGACAAGATATCAGAACTCTCTCGTATTTGGCTTCGGCCTCCTCGGCTGAAACGTTTTTCAAATTGCTCAGAGTCTGAGCTGTTTGGACCAGCAAATTGTCGCTCAGGTAATTCAGGATTTCTTCTTGGCAAAACACAATCGCTTCTTGGATCTTATTAGGAGGAAACGCATCCTGCAATAACAATAACAATTTGCAAACACTGAAAAAATGGAGTATTTAATATTACCATAAAGGCCTGCGAAGCGATACTCGCTGCAGGAGGGTAGGTGTCATACTGTGAGGTAAACCAAGGGGCTATTAATTGCTTTAAGTATGGAGCAATGTTACGTTTGACTTTAAGCACAATTTGATGATGAACGTTGTGCGTAGCTTCCCTGACGTGATTGTCCGTATCGGTGGCTAAAATGTTATAAAATCGAGGCCAGACTGGTAAGATGCTTTTCACAATGTCTACTTCCGATTCTTTCACCAGTTCCGCGAATTCTTGTAAACCCTAAAACGAAATATTTAGCATACAGTTAAATTTAAGGAGAATTGCTACCTTTATTTTGGTAGTCGAGTCTTTTTTAGCAATCTTTTTGAGAATAACTTGAATGTTTGGGTCTAAGGAAGTTTCGATTTCGTCGGGATTCGAAAGGGAAAATCCGAAAGCTGAATCTTTCACTCCTGAGAATCCTACGAATTGGGGCATCGACGTGCCAAGAAGTTCCGCGCTTCTTCCGCTGTTAGAGGGCTAAAATTGAAGAATCCTGATAAGATTTGAGCAATATGGAAATCTCACATAAATGTACCCTTGCATTGTTCTTGGTTCTGTTTGCCACTTTGTGCTTACCACCCATATTGTAAATAATCGCAAATGGAGTAAACAGCGATTAGTCGTTTCGTTTTATAAGAAAATAACAACGCAATATGAGTTTTTAAATTTTGACAACACTCAAAACAAGACACAAGACATAACCCTAAATTATTACAATAGCAGGTTTGTTCGAGTAGTGTGTTCGGAACTGTCACTACTACGTCATAATAAGAGTGGCCTTTTACGCATTGAGGTAACTAGTGTAAATGTGTGTCATATCAATTGTCAAGTAAATTTGGCAACGTTGATGTCTAGGCCTTGCTGTGAAAAGTATGATGTGACATTTATTGTTTGACCGATAAAAAAAATAAAAAAAGTAATTTTCGCCTGTGATTAATGTATTTACCTACAACGTATAAAAATAAAGTAAAATGGACCATCTAAGGGACAACCAAAGTCTCGGGTTAAGTACGGAGCAAACGGAGAAAGTGCTCCAGTTTCAAGATCTAACTGGCATAGAGGACATAACGATATGCAGGGATGTCCTACAAAGGCACCAGTGGAATCTTGAGGTAGCAGTCCAGGAACAATTAAACATTAGGGAAGGCAGGCCTACCGTATACGCGCTGGAGTCCCGACCTCCTGCCATTGTAAGCGATCATTTAGGGCAGCATTTCTACTACACTCCGCCTACAGATGGATCTGGAAGTGGCTTCAGGGGGCTGCTCAAGACAGTCATTAATTTTATGTGGAATATGTGCTATAGCTCGTTCATCACGTTCTTACAAATAGGCCGAAGGCTGTTAGGTATGTATAGTAATCGTGTAATTCACATTTGAATGTCTACTAATGCAAATTTTTAATTTCTCTGCAGGTATCGAATTCCGACCGAGGAGTAACCCTCTGCAGGACGTGATGGACTTTATAAAGGTGTACGAGGAGAAATACTCGAGATCGCATCCCGTATTCTATCAGGGCACCTTTTCGCAAGTGCTGAACGACGCCAAGAGGGAACTCAGATTTCTGTTGGTGTACTTGCACGATTCGGCTGCCGCAGACACCGACTCCTTTTGTAACACTAGCTTGGGCAACCAAGAAGTAATCAGATATATCAATCAAACGTTTTTGTTTTGGGCCTGCACGGCCGACTCGGACGAGGGCAAGAAGACCGCGAACGCCGTTAAAGCCACGCATTACCCGTTTTTGGCCATTTTGGTCCTGAAGGAGAATAGAATGACTGTTGTTGGTAGGTCTTCTTGATTATAATTACATATATCAGTCGTTATTAAATCTGGTAATTATTATTTCAGGTAGGTTAGAGGGATTTTCGGATCCGGCTTTATTGAAGCAAAGGTTGACTACGGTTGTGAACGAATATGAAATAAATTTGGTGTCTGCTAGGGCTGATAGATACGAGGCCAGCATCAATAGGTAAGTGTAAAAGCTTTGATCTTTATTAATAGTTTTATCTAAATATACGATTATTATAAACGTTAATGCTTTTAGATAAATGACGATTACTGTAGATTAAATTCAAAAGATTTTGTTAAATTATTGTGAACTAAAAGAGCAGGCTGTATGATTAATAACTAAAAAAATGTACTTCGTTTTAGGTCGTTAAGGTACCAACAAGATGAAGCTTTTGCCGAGAGTCTCAGAGCAGATCAGGAGAAAGAAAGGATAAAAGAGGAAGCCAGGAGAGCCCAGGAAGAGGAAATTCGTAGATTAGAAGAGGTGAGTTTATCATTTTTTATTATACAGGGTGTCCCAATGAAAAGTAGCCCCTTTAATGAGCTAATAATTTTTAAACGCCTAATCATAAAAATATGCGTTTTTCGCAGATATATCTTATTTTCCTATAACTTTTTGTTACAGTGACACAAAAATTTTGTATCGTCTGTACAGGGTGTTTCAAAAATCCACCTCTTTTAAATTCACATTAACTAAATTTTATGGTACAGGACATCTTCTTTTGTACAATAACATGTACAAATAACACATTTTTAAAAAGTAGAAGAGTATATCTTTCAAAATATCTCTACATATACGGGGTGTTCCATTTAAAAAAAAATGGTTACTGTGTATTTAAAACAGGAGATTTTGATAAAACACCCTGTGTTGGTAATACATAATTTCTGTATCAAAGTAACAAAACTTATAATAAAATAAAACATGTATGAGAAAACCGCATGTTTTTACGATTATGCGTTTACAAATTACAAGCTCATTAAAGGGGCTACTTTTCATTGGGACACCCTGTATTAACGATTCATTGATGCTTAATGCAGTGATCCCTGTACAAAAGGATACTCTATAGCTATTTGATGTAAATTAATACACCAAAAGTTACTTTTTACATTACTTATTGCTTGTTTATTAGGAGATGCAAGCCGAAGTGGCGAGAAAAGTGCAGTTCGCCCAAGAGAAAATAAATTCTTTGAGCAAAATACCCTCAGAACCTGATCCCTCTCATCCAGACGCGGTACATGTAGTTTTTAAGTTGCCTTGCGGCAGTAGACTGGAGAGAAGATTTCTCAAAACACATTCCCTGGAGGTACGTATTCTGTAACAACGTTGTCTCCCTATGGAAATTAATTGTCTGTCATTTTTTTGTTATAGTCTGTCTTCTATTTTGTATTCTGCAATCCAAATGCACCGGACACATTCGAGATAACGACAAATTTTCCCAAACGGGTGTTGAAATGCCAAAAGGAACACAATGAAGTGATAGAAACCCTGGAGCAGGCTGGTTTGAAAAATAGAGAAGTGCTTTTCGTCAACGATTTGGATGCATAAAATAACCACTACAATTTTGCGTTGTTAATTTAAAATCCAACAGATCTTTCTATAGATTAGAACGTTTGGTTACCTCGCGAAAGAGTCCAGCACTGTTATTTTTATATATTTTTATGGGAATATTATATATTTGTGTCAAACATTAGCTAAAACGGAATAAAATTATTCTAATTAATGTTTCAATTTAATTATTTTTGCGCATTTCGAATTGTTTGAACAAGGCTATTAATAGGTTTGTTCCAATGAAGTAAAGTTGTGCTCAGTATCTTCGTTGGAACAAACCTATTGATTAGTATAAATGGTATGTGAATTCAAAATTATATTTTGCCAATGCTAAAAACATAATTTTTATGATATGTTGTAAACTAAGGAAGTAAAGAGGTACCAAATCGCGTTCAATTGGCCTACTTGTAACTCCCTTCACTGTAACCTTAAGACAATACTTGAGTCTATTTTTGTAACACTTCTTTGCAAAATGGAGTTAAATTGAATTATTGTTTAATTTCGATTATTCGTGTAGATCCCACATGTGCAATAAATCCAATTTATTGTTTCAAATTTGCTAAATTTTATTAAATGCATTGTTTCCATAAACTTTACAGTTTGCACTTCAATAGTAACAACTCGTATAATTTCCACATTGCACTTTTTACTGTCTTGTAAGAATCACAGATAATATTTTCGTGTTCCAGATAAGTTATTGAACTGTTTCTAAACTTTACAGTTCAGTATCATTATTAGAACAAACATGTTACTATGCTCTTAAACATAGCAAATTTGAATATTATTGTTTAGATGTTACAATTAAAAAATAAAAACACAACCTGACACTATAAATGTTTGGTGTACGTATAATCTAAATTTTAGTTGAAATATTATCAAAAATTTATCATTCCCAAATAATGAATGGTTAATGTTGAAGAATTTCGATTTTATTTTGGGTATCATAACAAACCGTTATTGATTGAATGTATTTTTTATAGCATTTATTTTATATTTGGATAGCAAATAACTGCAAGTATTATTTAGGTTTTACATGTATTTACTTTCAAATGTATATATGTAAAAATAAATACAAATTGTTTGACTATCACTAAGTTTATTTAAATTACTACCAATTTTACCGTTACTTCATTAAGAGAGTATTGTTCGAATTGATTTAATAATAAATCATTTACCTGCTTTATTAAATCCACAAGATTATTTCGATGATCCATTTTACTAATTTTTAAAGGTATTTTTAAGTAGTAATCCAAACAGATCTTACACATCAAATAAACAATCTGCCATCATTAAATATTATGATTAGTTACAATAGTTTTAAAAATATTACAAATCAAACAAACACATACTAAATAAATGATAAGATAAATTCACGTTGATGCAACATACTTGGGTTTGGTTTCCGAATCAGTAACAGGCCTTATGTAAATCGCATCCTCCGGTAGCGGATCAGGAGCCGTTTCTTCCTCTAAAAAGTAAGAACAAGCCACAGCCAACACCGAGCCGTTGTGATTGAAGCACAACGAGGTAATTGATGTGTGATACTGGTGGAATTGGCACAACCGCTTCTTATTGAATCCATCCCAGATATTTACGAATCCGTCCGAACCCCCTGTAGCGAAAGTGTTGTAAATAGGGTGGAAACTAATAGCGTTTACTGGGTAGACTTTCTCTAATCCATTCTCTTTTATTCGGTGGCATTTGAAAGCGTATTTTTTCTTTTGAATTTCCGGATTCGTGTCCATGTATTCGACTGCTACTCTACCTAGAAGTTCGATAAAGTTGAGATTAAAACCAAAATGAAGCTTAAAAAACAAAACTTGAGAATGAGGAAATGGTATAGAAACAATGTTAGTACCTTATAAAACGAAAATACAAACAATTTTTCAACATTCAAATACAGTGTGGCACAAAAAACGTAAACAAATTAAACCACTTTTATATACTCATCAAGGAAGGTTTGAATATAACTATTATTAAACTACCTACTCAAGTTTTGATCATTCATTCCAAGTATACCTTGTATTATAATTAGTAATTACCTTCGATACTGCTAAGCACGAAACCTTGTTTGTTAGGAAAACACCTGAGAGCTCGAGTTTGGTATTTCAAATTAGATTCACGTTTTTGCACAGTATAAGACATATTTCTCACATCCCAGACGAGAATCCTCCTCGAAGCTGTGCCTACTACTAGTTTTTCACCACAAACGCTCATCGTGTAAACCCGCTCCCCTTGATTGCAATTCATGCTACATATGGGCCCTCGGGGGTCCCACACCTTAACATGATGATCCCAACTTCCAGTGATGATAGCATTCAAATCGGTGCAGTATTCGACGCATTTTATGGCATTGTTGTGAGCACCTATCGTAGTCTCTTTAGTGGCATTGAAATCGAAGGATTTAAGTGTGGCATCTAATCCTCCGCTGTAAGAATGGACTGCGTCCGTGAAACAGCAATCGAGCACGGCGCTGTCGTGGGCGTATTTGTGCCTTAAATTATTCGCTGAGACGTCGTATAATCTGACAAATCCGTCCCAAGAGCTGGCAAGGAGGAACTGGTTGTTATTGGGGCCGAATTTTACTGCGGAAATCGCGTCATCGGGTGGCGATTTTAATTTATATTCGTTTTGGGACTTCATATTCCTCGCTTATTCGATTATTTTAGTCACTTTTCAGTTATATGTAGCAAAAAGTAAACTAACGCAAAGGAAAATAAAATAATAACATAACCTAAAAACTACCGCTGTCACTGAGCTTCTTAACTGCTTGAGTAACTGCATTCTATTTGAATAAGAGACCACTAGAAGGTGGGATTACATGACATGTAAAAGAATTTGGTGAATTCTGGGTTCATTAGTTTGTATTTTTCTCCATGCTAAATATACTAAAAGTGGGCTTCAAATTTGTTAAAAAAAGTAAAATTTAAATGATTTTCATATTCAATTCAATTTGGTGTTCACCCAAGGCCTTCATCTAATGTCTAATTCAGTAATCTTCTTCTTTTTTATAAACAATAACATAACCTAACAAACTAAATTTGCATCCTGCATTTTTGTTTGCAACCAAAATCAAAATCTAATAACGAAAGAAGCATTTTAATTCAACAAATATTTAAATAACTAATCCTATCCTAGGTAAGCTATAGTCTATATAAAATAATTTACGCAATAATCTAATATGCTTATATTTGTAGATTAAAATACAATCATGATTATCCCTGTACGATGTTTCACTTGCGGAAAAGTCATAGGCAACAAATGGGAAGCGTATTTAGGGCTCCTGCAAGCGGAGTACACCGAAGGAGACGCTCTAGATGCGCTCGGACTGAAGCGATATTGTTGTCGAAGAATGCTCTTGGGGCACGTTGATCTTATCGAAAAGTTGTTGAACTACGCTCCTTTGGAGAAATGAACTTGTAATATCTTTAATATAAATAGAATATTTAATATTAATAGTTTAGGTTTATTTCATTTTGATTTTAAATGTTAAAAATGGAATTAATGTTTGTTTGCGAAGGGTGCCATGAAAGGTGCAAGAGTAAGTTTGTGTACATTGACTGATGGAATGAATCTTATGTCTTGAAATTTGTAATAAATAATTTAAAAAATGCAAATATATTTTTTTCCTTGAAAGTTTACTCAAAAATTCAAAAAAAATTGGAAAAATTGCAGTTTGAGGAACTTGATTGGATCAGTAATCACTAATCATTGAACAATGGTTTAATGAATAATTGATCACCTATCACTTATCTATCTCTTTTGCATACGGAAAAAAGAAAGAGACGGAATACAAATTTTGCATTAATCCACAAAAAATATGATGTAATTTATAATAAATATGTACACATATTAAACAATATTTCACAATTTTCCTAAAATTTTACGCGTCAACCCTTACAATTTCTTAGAATTATTTTCTCAAAACAGGAAGTGACATCCATTCGACGCCAACAAAGCATGCGCAGAATGCATCTTCCATCTCACATTTTGCCGCTTTTTCTAGTAATTGTCGATCGTTGGTGAAGTGCCGGCCATTATTTGTAAGCGGCAAGCGGTGTTTGTATTTGTTTAAAAATTCGTTGCTCCGGCGTGAATCCAATAGGAAGACTCGCACAATTCCCAGCTTAGTTTAGTTCAAATAAGTTAATCAAAATATAACCGAGATGGGCGACGAGAAGAAGGTGAGTCCTAACACAACCTAACAATTCCAATGTGTAATAAAGCTCTTCAAGCTTTACCTACTCCACTTTACCTACGTCGGGGTAATAACGTGATAATAATTTTAGGCAAGCGATGCGGAACACATCAACCTGAAAGTATTGGGACAAGACAACGCAGTCGTACAATTTAAAATAAAGAAACATACCCAGTTGAAAAAGTTAATGACTGCCTATTGTGAACGTGCCGTAAGTATCCGTTATTTTTTCTTACTTGTTTTCTACATTATATTATAGGTTAATGTCAAGCTTTTTACCATTTTGTATTTTCACGAATTTAAGGGAGATATAGTTAATATATTGATTGACAAGAAATGTACAATATGTATTCAAGTGTCCTTGAAATTTGCATTAAGATCAAAATATTGTACATCAATAAGAAAGGTTTCTATATTTTGAAAATCATAATCTAATTGCAACAAACAAAGAGATCACATTTAAATAACCATAGATCAAGATATATAGAGTTCGTATAGCTGCTTAGGTTTGCATGTAAAAGGCCACGCAATTTGGTAAATTAATTATTGTACAGACTTGCTATTTGTTGTTTGAAGAAAATGGATTATAAAATGCTCATATGCAAAGCCAACGCCTTATCTTATTGTTTCAATAATGGTATCAATTGTAGGAGACTCGCATCCAATTTTAATTACCAAATTCGAATTATCACCATCAGTATTAAATTTACTTATTTTGTTGCACAAATAATGGATTTGTGCATGAATGATGACGATTTGTTGCTCGAATGATGAATTAAATCATTCATCATTTTAGATGAACGTTCATACAATTGATTGTGTATCCTTATCTTTATTAATTGATGGATATTTATTTAAAATTTGCCTTGTTTTATAATTCATTAATTTTACATACTTTAAACTTGCTTAAACTATTATAAAAATAGTCAAAAACCTTTTTTATTTAATGATTATACCTACAATACATTTGTATAAGCTTCTTCCTAACCAATTTTCGAGTACCTATATTTAATTCTACAATTGTGCTGTTTGATAAGTTGTGAAGATGAGTTGCATAACTATTCCATATTTATCTTATCCATGACATTGTATATTGATAAATTTATTAAAAAATATTTTTAATTTTCAGGGTATAAGTCCTCAGGTCGTCCGATTTCGATTCGACGGGAATCCCATAAACGACACAGATACTCCGAACTCTTTAGATATGGAAGAAGGGGATACAATCGAAGTGTACCAGCAGCAGACTGGTGGAAGCGTTAATTATAATTAATAACCGATATCCCGCTGTATTTCTTATTTTTCTATATTAAATTAAAATAGTTTTTATGTATGATAATTTAATTTTATTCGTTTTTAATTGCAATGCGAGGTAAATCTTGTGAAAGTTGTTCATAATCCAAATTCAACCGTTCAGGATAGGTCTGATTTTTTTTGTAATTAAACTAGTAATACAAAACATTTTCTTAACGTAGTTTTTTAATTGTAGCTGATTGACATTCAATTACGTTTCTTTTTCGTAGTACTTTTGCCGTTCGCTTTAAGGGCGGTTCTGTCGTCGAAAACTGCGTCTCCGTAGGATTTTAAATGTAAATTTGAAAACACCGAGATGGCTACGAACGCAATTAAACCGATGATAACTACGTATTCAGCTCTGTTTTCAAACTTCACTCCGCATATCGAATACCAAATCGAACCTTCCGATGGTACTCTTTTCAAGCAACTAAAATCGAAGTACTTCTCGTCGTAGTCGGTAGAACACAAGTACTTCCTTTTTCTTAAAGTCTACAAGAACATATACATAAGAATCTTATAGAAATTTACATCATCTTGTACACTTACTATTCCTGCAATAGTACGCAAAGGTACATACTCATTACAAGGTCCTATCGGTTCCTTCAACCCGGTGGAAACTTCATCTTCGGGATTAAACAACACCGGCATGAGTAGGAACAATGCATAGTGCACTAGCAAGTGGAACATGAGCAGCAAAGAGGACCAATGTAGCTTGAAAACGGTGCCATTAACGTTCCGCGATGTGTCACGATCTCCAGTCCAAGCGAGTACCAAAAACACAGCCACTATTATGAACACCGCTATTTCTGTGTGAATCTTGTATACATCATGTAGTGGATGATATATTAGAATGAACGGTATCAAACCAGTTGGGGATCCCAGAACAGCGGTGAGCAAGGAGCACCACAATTCTCTCAAGACGCTGAAACATAATCCATCGAAATTAAAGAAGTTGTACGAGCGACTAGATTGATCGAGTACCTTTTATCTGCTACCCATTTACCCTCGGTGGGGCACAACTTTTCCCTCAAAAAGTGGAACCAAAACAGGAGGGCGGCGGCGAAGGTGGCGTGGAAGAAGTAGGAGGTCCAGGGCACCCAGTAGTGCCTGTCCTCTATGTTAGGGTCTGTGTCGTGCCACGTCCAGTGTATGTAGCGAACCGAAACTATGTCGTAGGGAATGTCGATGAGCACGGTGAGCAAACCCACTGCGAACGGCTCCGACCATTTGGGCAGCTTCAGTTTAGCCGCCGCCACTGATGCTTGGTAGATGAAGCACGGATCTGAAACGCCAGGGTTTCAATTATGCACTCAATCGAGCGAATTCAACAGCTACTTACATAATAAAATGATGTGCAAAGGTAGCCTCCGGCCTAAGAAGATGATGGGGGTTTGGCTGTGCCAGAAGTTATCCACGTCTGGATGGATGTAGGTGATGCTTTCTACGACCACTCCGTGAAGTACTATCGTCAGCCATAGGTAAGGGAGGCGCCCGCCCCGAATTAGAGCTGCAAGAATAGTTTAATTTGCTCGTTGGGAATTTGCTATTGAGTACTTACCGTGAGCTAGTGTTGCAATCCCTCCTAAAATGTAGGCGGCTTGGGCTAGAATGTAAGTGGGAGAGTTTCTCCAAAGGGTTTGTATGTCGGAAAATTGGATGAACCAGTCCCAAAACTGAAAATTCGTCAAAATGCTTTAGAAGACACACTTTTTTAATAGGAAAGGGGCTGTTCCATACTCAATATCTTGGATATGTTAGACACAAGACCATTATTTGAAACAATCTAGGTATTCCCTAATCGCAAGCTATACCCAATGAAACAATTTAATAGAAGTAAATTGTAAATCACTTGTCCTAAACAAACGAATTATCAGGTGTTATAAATGAATATTTCATTTATCCACCTGTTGAATATCAACAAATATATTATGAAACAATCACAGAGGAATATTTAAATAGTATTTCTCTTACTTACACTGGAATACGTTAGCTCGGAGAGCTCCGTGCCGGTAGCGAGAATATCCCGGTCAACCATCTTAACGGTATACTTTACTACTGTTTCAAATTTCAACGAGAGCGATTGTGCACTCGCGCGATAATAAACGTATCTTATCAATTTTTTAAACGGAGTTTAAAGCACGAAATAAACTGATTCTGATGACTGGCGACCTGTAATGGATTTGTGTATTGTGCGAAAAATAATGAAGTTTAGACATAAAATATGAAGGTGGTGCAATCGGGCATACACACATAAAGGTCATAAATTCTGATTGAGTAATTGGCAGATAATTTTTCCATAAAAGATAAGGATTAGAAATTGTCTTAAACCATTCTTAACCTGCTCTCGAAATGTATACTTTTCCATTTCGTAATAATAATTCATTGAAGGGCCTCTAATCTAATCTGTCCATTTCTTCGCTTATTCGATGTTATATAATTTGAACTAAAACAAATTTTCCAATAAAATCCTTTCTGGGTTATTATATTAAATTCAAGCTTCTATTGCTTAAAGGATACTTTCTACTTAAATGCAATATTTTATTTATTTCTAACATTGAAAACAATTAAATTACAATTGATTTATAGCGTATAAACTTCACATTTACTAGCAAAATATCATTAATTGGAACCTATTAGTAGATACCCACATACAGATATAAAAACAATCAGCACGCTAAATAAAATTAACCGATATTTCCTAAAGAAACCTTCGTCTTCTTCGTTGTCATGTCTTCTTCTATCCCTAGTTTTCTTCTTCCCTTCAAACATCTTTTGATACCGTTCTAGCTCTTTTTTACTTTTAATCTCCTCTTCCTTTCGCTTCTGCTCTTCAGCGGCCTCCCTGATCTTCTTACTTTCTTCCTTCTTTTCCTCGCATATTTGATCGCAGTCTACGACAGCCATATTTTTCCGCACGGTCTCGCAGGAGAACTCCTTCCTGATCCTTTTGCATTTGCACGAGACTTTCACTTTCTTCTTGCATTGCTCAGCGTTCGGACACGGACCGGGATGGCAGTTCGATTTGCATCTGTGGCCACATTCGTACTAAAAACAAAGAATCCTGTTAAATCCTTATTGAACTTATCGTCTATTTATATATTTAAATCGTCGTGGTACATTTTTTAGGCAATATGTTGTAGGTTGTAGTACATACATTTTTGGGACATTGGTTACCGCAGGCTTGTATTTCGAGCTTCTTCTCTTCATCCAACCAATCTGAGCACTTTACGTATAATTGATTAAGTCCGCAATAGCATTTTATCCTCGTCATCGTTTTACAGGGTGGACAATCACCTTGGTGACAAGGTTTCGGACAAGCATGGGTACAACCTACCGGTCTATCTTTGGTGCAACTGCTTTCGCAAATTTCGCAATTCGAACCAGCCTAAAACAATTACTTGCATAACAGATACGAAAACTACAACCAAATAAGTGCATTACATTAATTCCATCGACGGCATTTTCGACGACGTGACACAATTGGCAGCAAGTGTGATTGCCGCATTGTAACAATCTACCGCACGGTCTGTGACAACTGGACGGTGTAGCCATGTAACAAGGCCACTCGCAGGTTTCGTGTTCGCCCAAACACGTAACGGGCACGTTGACGAGACAGTCCGGGCACGGCAGGTCCTGCCGTACCAGTTGCGGTTTGACTTGCTCCCAAGGCATCGAGGCTTTCTGGCCCTCGATTTTCACCAACACGGCCGAATGGCAGGTCGCAGGACACGAATGCGAACACTCGGCGTGCGTTTTGCCGCAGGTTTGCTTGCAAGGCGGGCAATCGCCAAAGTGGCATCTGTGGTTTAACCTTCTTTCGTGATGGCAATCCGGAGGTATCCTACAAACAAAAGGATTGAGTAAATCTGTAAATGACTAGCGCACAATGGTCGCGTCTCTAACTTGACAGTTTTACATTGTTGTTATGGATAACTAAGGAATTTGTTTACGCTAAAGTGACCCTTTAGGGCCGTGTTAAGATTTAAAGTGGGACGCTGAATACAGGCCATTGTTCTTAGGGTGCTTACATGCAGAGTAAGTTGCATTTCGGTGGTTTGGTTTTACTTCTACGTCCGCAGGGTACGGCTAACTTGGTCGCTCCACATCTACAGGAAACCTCGTCGGTTTCGCTGCAAGGATAACAAGGACCTTTGTGGCACACGGAATTGCATTTGTGATTGCCGCAATTAAGGGTGCGCCCGCACGGTTTCTCGCACGGCGGACAATTACCGTTGCAACACTAAAAATAAATAAACATTTATTGACGTTCGCTTGTGTGCAAATAGGTATTGAGTACCTTCCTGTTACAGGGGTGCTTGTTACAATCTTTCATCCTCTTGCACTTGACTTCGCACAAATAGGGCTTGTAGCATTGGATTTCTTTGGAGTATTGTCCGCACCTGCAGAGCTTCTCCACCGTTTCGAGGCACTGCAAATCGTTTTATACCGCAAATTAATCTGTATATAAATTGTATAAGTACAACTTACCACGCCGCATTTCTCCTTGTGGCATCGAAGATTGCAAGTGTGCACCCCGCAGTCCAGCAGCTTGTCGCAAGTATCCGGACAAGTCGGGGTTTCTTCCACGCAAGGAAGGCAGAACGTGGTTTTTCCACAGGGACAAGTCCTGGGTTTAGTCAACGGGCAGCTACCGCAATCGCCGGTGTGGCATATTTGTTCGCATTTGTGGTTACCGCAATCAAGAGGCTTATCGCAAACCTAACAAATATTGTATCGAGAAAAAAGTTGATTGTTACAATCGATGTATTTATTACCTTATCACATTGCCACACTGGGCTAGCACAATCTCTGAGTTTCTGTTGGCTTTTACACACGCATTTTTGTATGCTCTTCTTCGGGCAAGGTTGGCAATCACCCGAATGGCAAGGGGACGAGCAAGCGTGTTTACCACATTCCAAAATTTTGCCACAAGCATTGCCGCACGACCAATCTTTTTTGCTACATCTCTGAACCCTAGGCGGTTGTGAACCGCAATAACAAGTGATGTTAACGGTAACCGGACAAGGTGGGCATGGTCCTACGAGTAGTAACAGTTAATTTAATATATCAAAATCTTTAAAAATATGTACCTGGATGACAAAGAAGTAGACAAGTGTGGCCACAAAGCGGTTTCAATTTCTTCTTGCAGATTTGGCCGCAGGAGTGTGGCACGAGATAGGGATCGTATTTGGGGTTCTCGGCTTTGCCACAGAAGCATAAATATTTCGCTGGAACGTCTGAAGAAGTGTATTCGTGGCGGCATTTAGGACAGCACCAACATAGCCGGATGTCTTTCGCAGGTGTCTGCTCTTGAAGGGCGTGTTTCTGTTGGGTTAACGTATCCTTCGACCATCGTTGAACGCACATTAGATGGAAATGTCCATAGCAATTCACACAGGACCAAATCTGAGGTTACAAGAAATTTGTTTAGAATAGTAACAGGATTGTGAACGGCTTATAATTTACCTCATTCTCTTTCTTAATTCTGGAAATGCATATTAGACAAGTTACGGCTCCCGATAGAAAGGAATCACGCAGCAAATTTCCAGTTTTTTGGACGTTTTCTTCTTCCGCATCGTTTTTCCTGTAGTTATTTAATATGGAATCTGTAATATGGAATAGCTTTCCTTAATTCAATACACCATAGAACAACAACTATCTAGAAAGTGTAGAAACTATACAAAACTTTCTAGATATCCAGATGTTTTTTCATCCGGAATGCTTGTAAGTCTCTAAGCCACAATTTTATTAGACTAGATAATTGTATTTCTAAAATAAGAAAGCAATGGCTGAATTAAAGTTATATTTTTACCTATTAGAGAATTCGATTCTAGGTCTTCTTCTTCCGAAGAAGATTCGTATTCTTGCACATGCTTGTGGACGGATGCTTGGAGTTTCGCATGAGCTTCGTTGAACTTTACTTGAGAAGGAGTTGGAGAGGTCTTGTTGGGCTTCTTCTTCGGTTGGTTTTGTACGTTTTTATTCCAGGGATTTTTCGGTTTACTCTGATTATTCATCTTGCGTTTGAATTATTAGTCCCCTTTTAGAATAATTAACACAAATTAAACCATGGTTTTGTAATTTTCGAGGTACTGGTTCGAACTTTGTGGAAACCGGCTAAATATGATTAGAGAAATAGATAATTTGTTATCAAAAATGGAAGCATTGTAGAATTACTAGAATTCCACGCATTTCCACGTCAGGTTATGATTTTGACAAACCTGTCATTTTTTATAGTCAAAAAAATGTATTGCTTTGTAAAAGTTGTTGCCTATCTCATTAATCCCAGGATTCAGAATAAAACAGGGTTGGAATCAGAAGGAAAGTTGGAATTTATTTGTGAAATTTTTATTAGTTCAACAGGGTCAACAGGTCAAACTGCCATATTTATTAAACTGCATAGAACAGTTAATATATAAAAATCGTTCTGTGCAGGAACATTTTTCTCAAATTTATGACATAAAAATAGAATTATTTGTAATAATTAGCAAAAATAAACAATAACTCAATTAAATTAATTAAAAAATTATCTTGCTTTTTCTTTTAATTAGAAATTAAAGATATAACAACTTTAGGGGTACATTAGGTAAAAGGTGTTTTTCGTGAATTATACATTTGCAATATTTAAATAATTCAAATTGTTTATAAGAAGCTATAGAATTGTTCATTTATCATTTTCTATCGATTGCAGAAAGAACAGTGTACAAAGAGAAAGCTACCTTGAGAACCTGCATAAAAATTAAAGAAATAAAATTAGATAACTAGATAATAACTTTTTTAGATAAAAAACGATCCAAATATTCAACTTACCCTAGCAAAAGATATCATATTCATATCGTACAAATTGTAAACATTAAATTGAGGAATTCTTTGAGAATGCATAAGTACGAAGACAATATCTTTCTTCAGTTGGACATTACTGAATTTTAACCAGTTGCTCTTGAAAATCGCTTCTGGTAGTAAACTAGCCTAGAAAATAAGGTTGGAAACCTTATTTTATTATTATAATCTAAACATAGTAACTTTTATTTATTACCTGGTGATATAAAACAGTTCCGAGAAAACAATCAATAAATAATTGCATCAAAAATCCCATCAAAAATAAACAACTTACGATTTTTGACTCAAGAGTAGCATTGGGTATCTAAAAAGAAATTAATTAAAGGAACTAGATGATAGAATACGATTAATTTAGTTACCTTCGTCAATTGGAAATATCCCAAACAATTGCCACACACAGCAAATATTATATTAAATGCTTCCATTATATTGTATATCTTGTTAAATTTTTTCATGATTCTAAAATTTTATTAGAATAATATTAAATCGAAATCAACACAGTTTAACATTGAAAAAATATTTTAATCTCATCTTATACAATCACAAAACATTTCAAAAAAAAATGTTAATGAAATTATAATCATCTAAAGTAACATTTACTTACTGCAAAAGCATCTGATGATGACGAATACAATAAATAAGATATTTTTTTTCTTTACTGTATTCCTTTTTCAACTGGTTTTTGTGGATTCTGTTCAATTTTTCATATACGTCATTCATGCCATCCTTGTTCAACGCTTTGAAGCAAGCGTTTAAAATGCAATACTGATTAGCAATCGTCAATAATAATGCCATTGTGAGAAGATCCAATCCCATAATAATGCAGAATTCTGTCACTAGAGAGTAAAATTGAACAAACCACACGATTTCGAAGAATGGAGAAGCAGTCCAGTTAAATGGAAAATAAGCAGGAAATGGCACAACCCTTTCTTCATTCAGGGCAGCAATTAATATAAATGTACCACAAAATAACACGCCTAAAATATTCATACAATCACCTCAAAGATAAATGTTTATGGGTTGGGCTTGTGTTCTTTATTTTATTATATTCTCAACTTACCATCAATGAAAAATATAATTGCTATGTTACTAGCTGTTTTAAATGACTTAAATACAAATGGAATATCTGCCTTTTCGACGAGAGAGCAAGGCCAAAATTTATATTCCATTTCCTTTATTAATTTACCAATCTTCTCAAAGTTGAAAAAGAGAAAAGGTAATTTCAGAGCAAACTAAAACAGTACATATTCGAAATCTACAATAAGTGCAGCGCCTCTAAAATCTATTTAATATGGTGGAAAAAAATAATTAGATCCTATTATTTAAATAGAAGATTCGGTATATCATTTAAATAAAAGTTAATATTCACGTACTACACTGGGACCTAATGCAAGTTGTAGGCCTCTGATTGCTTTGTTAAAATCGTCCTTATTGTGAGAAACAAACCATAAATTACCCAATATGACAAAACCAGTCATAAAAAACATGGTGAAAAATAGTACGTATTGCGTAGGACTAATTTTTTTGCCAACAGGAAATAATCCTCCTAATTTGAGGAAAAATTTCGGCGACCAAAAATCTAATAAGGCATAATCCCTTGTTCCCATTATTCGAGAAGCAATATCTGAAAATACCCAATATTATTTTATAGTCATAAATTTAAAAGTGGAAAAGTGGAAAATTATTGAATAAAGTCTCACCGTGGATCTTCATGGTTTCCTAATCAGTTCCAAAATAGTAACAAGTAGATTCTTTTATAATTCCAAGGAGACTTGTAGGTAAATACTCGGATGAGAATGATAGAATTTTCAGGATTAATCTGTGTGATGAATCTGAATACAAGGAAATGAAATTATCGCATTAATTAAGAAACAATTATAATATATCAGTTCGATATCTACGAGGGTGTAAGAAATTTCCTTTTATTTTACCAATAAATACAATAAGGAGAAATATATTTAGGCATATTCATACATTTTTTATACCCCCGTAATTGTTCCAATTAAAATTACTTTTAATTGTATTTTAATTGTTCAGGAATATGAGATGAAAAAATAATGTTGTCTAATAAATTATTAACTAGTTATGGAATTACAAAATTAATCTTATGCATAATTAATTTTTTTACCAATAACTTTTACCTTTTAAAAATTATCTAGCTGTATAAAAACTGTCATAATGGAGAAGTGTAGGTAAATAATTCAACCGGCGGTGATAAATTGGGAACAGGAATAAATATATTCATTATATAAAGCTAAAAGGATATTTTTATACCATTGGTAAATTGGGCGCGAAAATATTTCAGTTAGATAAGGGAATTATTTGAATTCATTCCCAATAAAAAATATTTGTTGTTATTTTGTTGCAGTTTGTTGTAGTTTATTTAGCTTCAGTTCGAACTTCGTAAAAACCGGCTGAAGATTTCCACGCATTTCCTCTTTCCTCGTCTGTTTATTTTAACAAATTTGTAATTTTTTTAGTCAAATGAACAACTTTGTAAAATGAGTTGCTTATCTAATTAACTGCGGAATGTAGAATGAAACAGGGTTGAAATTAGAATAAAACTTGGAATTTGTTTGCTAAAGTTTATTTAGTTCAGATAAAATTACCATCTATTAAATTGCACGGAACAGCTAATGTATAAAAATCGTTCTGTGCATCAGGAACATTTTCTTCAAATTTATGACATAAAAAATAAACAACTTATTTAATATATTTAAAAAATTATGTTGCTTTTCCTTTCAATTACAAGGTGTATTTAAGTAGGTATTTGTGTAGATATTACAAATAATTCTATTTATAAATAATTCAAATTGTTTATAAGAAGCAATAGAATTGTTGATACTTCATTTTCTATCGATTGCAGAAAGAACGGTGTATAAAGAGAAAGCTACCTTGAGGACCTGCATCATAAAAATTAAAGAAATAAAATTAGATAACTTATAGATAATGGCCCGTATTCAGCGCCCCTGTTTAACTTTAGAGTGACTCTAAAGTCGCGTCTTTAACTTGACAGATTTACATTGTTGTTATGGAGTAACTAGGGACTCGAGACGCGACTTTAGAGGCACTCTAAAGTTAATGTGAGGCGCTGAATACGGGCCAATAACTTTTTTAGAAAACGATCGAAATTTTCAACTTACCTTAGCAAAAGATATCATATTCATATCGTACAAACTGTAAACATTAAATTGAGGAATTCTTTGAGAATGCATAAGTACGAAGACAATATCTTTCTTTAGTTGGACATTACTGAATTTTAACCAGTTGCTCTTGAATATCGCTTCTGGTAGTAAACTAGCCTAGAAATCTATTAATATAATCTAAACGTAGTAATTTTTATTTATTACCTGGTGATATAAAACAGTTCCAAGGAAACAATCAATAAATAATTGCATCAAAAATCCCATCAAAAAAAAACAACTTATGATTTTTGACTCAAGAGTAGCATTGGGTATCTAAAAAGAAATTAATTAAAGGAACTAGATGATACAGTACGATTAATTTAGTTACCTTCGTCAATTGGAAATATCCCAAGCAATTGGCACACACAGCAAATATTATATTAAGTGCTTCCATTATATTGTAAATCTTGTTAAATTTTTTCATGATTCTAAAATTTTATTAGAATAATATTAATCAAATCGAACCAACACAGTTTAACATCGAAAAAATATTTTCTTCTCACCTTACACAATCACAAAATATTTCGAAGAAAATGGTTAATGAAATTATATTTGTCTAAAGCGACATTTACTTACTGTAAAAGCATCTGATGACGATGAATACAATAAATAATATATTTTTTTTCTTTACTATATTCCCTTTTCAACTGGTTTTTGTGGATACTGTTCAATTTTTCATATACGTCATTCATGCCTTCCGTGTTCAAAGCTTTGAAGCAAGCGTTTAAAATGCAATACTGATTAGCAATCGTCAATAATAATCCCATTGTGAGAAGATCTAATCCCATAATAATACAGAATTCTGTCACTATACAGTAAAATTGAACCAACCACATGATTTCGAAGAATGGAGAAGCAGTCCAGTTAAATGGAAAATAAGCAGGGAATGGCACAACCCTTTCTTTATTTAGGGCAGCAATTAATATAAATGTACCACAAAATAATACTGCTAAAATATTCATACAGTCAAATCAAAGATAAATGTTTATGGGTTTGGCTTGTTTTTCTATTTTTTTATACTTCCAACTTACCATCAATGAAAAGTATAATCGCTATGTTACTAGCTGTTTTAAATGACTTAAATACAAATGGAATATCTGCCTTTTCGACGAGAGAGCAAGGCCAAAATTTATATTCCATTTCCTTTATTAATTTACCAATCTTCTCAAAGTTGAAAAAGAGAAAAGGTAATTTCAGAGCAAACTAAAACAGTACATATTCGAAATCTACAATAAGTACAGCGCCTCTAAAATCAATTTAATATGGTGGGAAAAAGAATTAGATCTATTAGACTATTATTTAAATAGAGTATTCGGTATATCATATAAATAACAGTTAATATTCACGTACAACACTGGGAACTAATACAAGTTGTAGTCCTCTGATTGATTTGTTAAAATCGCCTCTATTGTGAAACACAAACCATAAATTTCCCAATATAACGAAACCAGTCGAAAAAAACATGGTTGAAAATAGTATGTATTGAGTAGGACTTATTTTTTTACCAACGGGAAATAATCCTCCTAATTTGAGGAAAAATTTCGGCGACCAAAAATCTAATAAGGCATAATCCCTTGTTCCCATTATTCGAGAAGCAATATCTGAAAATACCCAATATTATTTTATAGTCATAAATTTAAAAGTGGAAAAGTGGAAAATTATTGAATAAAGTCTCACCGTGGATCTTCATGATTTCTTAATCAGTTCCAAAATAGTAACAAGTAGATTCTTTTATAATCCCACATGGATACTTGTAAATACTCGGATGAGAATGATAGAAAATTCAGGATCAATCTATCTATTACATAGAAATTCATGGAATACATGGAAATGAAATTATCGCAATAATTAAGAAACAATTATATTATATCAGTTCGATATCAGGCATATTCATACATTTTTTATACCTCCGTAATTGTTCCAATTAAAATTACTTTTAATTTTATTTTAATTGTTCAGGAATATGAGATGAAAAAATAATGTTGTCTAATAAATTATTAACTAGTTATCAAATTACAAAATTAATCTTATGCATAATTAATTTTTTTACCAATAACTTTTACCCTTTAAAAATTATCTAGCTGTATAAAAACTGTCATAATGGAGAAGTGTAGGTAAATAATTCAACCGGCGGTGATAAATTGGGAACAGGAATAAATATATTTATTATATAAAGCTTAAAAGGATATTTTTATACTATTGGTAAATTGGGCGCGAAAATATTTCAGTTAGATAAGGGAATTATTTGAATTAATTCCCAATAAAAAATATTTGTAGTTATTTTGTAGCAGGTTGTTGTAGTTTATTTAGCTTCAGTTCGAACTTCGTAAAAACCGGCTGAAGATTTCCACGCATTTCCTCTTTCCTCGTCTGTTTATTTTAACAAATCTGTCATTTTTTGTAGTCAAATGAACTACTTTGTAAAATGAGTTGCCTATTTAATTAACCGCGGGATGTAGAATGAAACAGTATTGAAATTAGAATAAAACTTGGAATTTGTTTGGTAAACTTTATTTAGTTCAGATAAAATTACCATCTATTGAATTGCACGGAACAGATAATGTATAAAAATCTTTCTGTGCATCAGGAACATTTTCTTCAAATGTATGACAAAAAAATTAAATGTGTAATACTTAGCAAAAATAAACAACTTATTTAATATAACTAAAAAAATATGTTGCTTTTCCTTTTAATTAAAAGGTGTATGTATTTAAGTAGGTATTTGTGTAGATATTACAAATAATTCTATTCATAAATAATTCAAATTGTTTATAAGAAGCAATAGAGTTGTTGATTATTCATTTTCTATCGATTGCAGAAAGAACGGTGTATAAAGAAAAAGCTACCTTGAGGACCTGCATCATAAAAATTAAAGAAATAAAATTAGATAACATATAGATAATAACTTTTTTATAAAACGATTGAAATTTTCAACTTACCTTAGCAAAAGATATCATATTCATATCGTACAAACTGTAAACATTAAATTGAGGAATTCTTTGGGAATGCATAAGTACGAAGACAATATCTTTCTTTAGTTGGACACTACTGAATTTTAACCAGTTGCTCTTGAATATCGCTTCTGGTAGTAAACTAGCCTAGAAACCTATTAATATAATCTAAACGTAGTAATTTTTATTTATTACCTGGTGATACAAAACAGTTCCAAGGAAACAATCAATAAATAATTGCATCAAAAATCCCAACAAAAATAAACAACTTATGATTTTTGACTCAAGAGTAGCATTGGGTATCTAAAAAGAAATTAATTAAAGGAACTAGATGATAGAGTACGATTAATTTAGTTACCTTCGTCAATTGGAAATATCCCAAGCAATTGGCACACACAGCAAATATTATATTAAGTGCTTCCATTATATTGTAAATATTGTTAAATTTTTTCATGATTCTAAAATTTTAATAGAATAATATTAATCAAATCGAATCAACACAGTTTAACATCGAAAAAATAATTTCTTCTCACCTTACACAATTACAAAATATTTCAAAGAAAATGGTTAATGAAATTATAATTGTCTAAAGCGACATTTACTTACTGTAAAAGCATCTGATGACGACGAATACAATAAATAATATATTTTTTTTCTTTACTGTATTTCCTTTTGAACTGGTTTATGTGGATACTGTTCAATTTTTCATATACGTCATCCATGCCATCCGTGTTCAAAGCTTTGAAACAAGCGTTTAAAATGCAATACTGATTAGCAATCGTCAATAATAATCCCATTGTGAGAAGATCTAATCCCATAATAATACAGAATTCTGTCACTATACAGTAAAATTGAACCAACCACATGATTTCGAAGAATGGAGAAGCAGTCCAGTTAAATGGAAAATAAGCAGGGAATGGCACAACCCTTTCTTTATTCAGGGCAGCAATTAATATAAATGTACCACAAAATAATACGCCTAAAATATTCATAGAATCAAATCAATGGTGAATGTTTATGGGTTTGGCTTGTGTTCTCTATTTTATTATATTCTCATCTTACCATCAATGAAAAATATAATCGCTATGTTACTAGCTGTTTTAAATGACTTAAATACAAATGGAATATCTGCCTTTTCGACGAGAGAGCAAGGCCAAAATTTGCACTCCATTTCCTTTATTAATTTACCAATTTTCTCAAAGTTGAAAAAGAGAAAAGGTAATTTCAGAGCAAACTAAAACAGTACATATTCGAAATCTACAATAAGTACAGCGTCTCTAAAATCAATTCAATATGGTGGAAAAAAAGAATTAGATCCTATTATTTAAATAGAAGATTCGGTATATCATATAAATAACAGTTAATATCCACGTACTACACTGGGAACTAGTACAAGTTGTAGTCCTCTGATTGATTTGTTAAAATCGCCTCTATTGTGAAACACAAACCATAAATTTCCCAATATAACGAAACCAGTCGAAAAAAACATGGTGAAAAATAGTACGTATTGCGTAGGACTAATTTTTTTACCAACAGGAAATAATCCTCCTAATTTGAGGAAAAATTTCGGCGACCATAAATCTAATAAGGCATAATCCCTTGTTCCCATTATTCGAGAAGCAATATCTGAAAATACTCAATATTATTTGAAAGTCATAATCTTAAAAGTGGAAAAGTGGAAAATTATTGAATAAAGTCTCACCGTGGATCTTCATGGTTTCTTAATCAGTTCCAAAATAGTAACAAGTAGATTCTTTTTTAATCCCACATGGATACTTGTAAATACTCGGATGAGAATGATAGAAAATTCAGGATCAATCTATCTATTACATAGAAATTCATGGAATACATGGAAATGAAATTATCGCATTAATTAAGAAACAGTTTTAATACATCAGTATATACGACATCTACGAGGGTGTAAGAAATTTTCTTTTACTTTAACCAATAAATACAGTATAAGTAGAAATGTATTTACGCATATTCTTACATTTTTTATACCCCAGGTATTGTTCCAATTAAAATTACTTTTAATTGTATTATAATTGTTCAGGAATATGGAATGAAAAAATAATATTGTCTAATAAATTATTAACTAGCCTTATTGACGAGAATATGAAAATACTTTGCTGTAAATAAAAATTCTCTATCATCAAAAATATTTTGTAATTATTTTGTTGCAGTTTGTAGTTATTTTAATTATAATTTATTTATTTCAATTCTATAGTTATTCTAATTATTAATATTATTATAAATTAAACCATATTTTTGTACTTTATAGGATACATGTTCGAACTTCGTAGAAACCGGCTGTGTAGGAACAATTTATTATTTATTAATTATAATTAAAAAATTATTTTGCTTTTGCTTTTAATTATAAGGTGTATTTAAGAAGGTATAAGTATAAGTGTAGGTATTACAATTTTAAAGGTAAAAAGAGATTTTCGTGAATGATACATTTGCAATACTTAAATAATTCAAAT